TTTAAAATCCATTTAAATTTTTTTTTTTTTCTTTTTTTTTTCCAATGCTGGCTCGATCCATTTTAAACCAAAAAAAAAAAAAAAAAAAATGTTATTATAAGTTCTTTTTACAGAATATACTAACGTTCAGAGATGAGAGTTGGTGCGACACATCGCCCAACAGTATCGAAGGTCACACAATGTAAACAATATTCGTAATGTTGATCACGACATTTAATACATGTTCCTTTTTTTGATCGTCGATTGGCGACAAGAAATCCTTCGGTCGACGATGACGATCCACTTTTTTCTGAGATTTTTGTTTGCATTAACCTTGATATTTGCGGAAGAATCGGTTTTGGCGAACGGCAAAGATTTTCGGTATTCTTAAATGAATTGTTCAATATAGCTTTGATTAGATTATCTTTGGCAATTCGTTCATCTTTCATTCCTACACATCGAATTGCTTTTTCGATTTCAGTTTTCAAAGTTTCTTCATTTAGACTTGTATTGGTTGAATATTTATGTATATCAGTGACCATTACGATGAATTCTTCAAGTCTTAGGAATCCATGATTAGACGTATCGTAATATTTAAATAGGAAATTCAAACGACCTTCAGTAAAATGTTTAGTTGTCGGTTCCATGGCAATAATGCCAAGAAGCATTTCGTGGAAATGTAGAAAATCATTGTCATATAAGCTACAAGCACGAAATAGAAATGCGATACGAGGATCATTACGATCAAAACCATATTTAATAAGGTAATGTTTGAACGATTCGAATGACATATAAAACGATGGATAGCAGTGTTCAACAAAGTTTTCATAAATTTCCGCTATATGCTCTGGTTTGATGTGTGATGCTTTGAGCAGTTTTTTTTCGATTGAATTTTCTTTTGTAAAATAATGATAAAATGAATTCTCCAAACTGAATTCAGTTATTAGTTTACGTCGTTCATTGATACCAATGACAATACGGGTGAAATTTTTTAGTTCTGGTCCCCATATTTTATCGATACGATCAGCAAGAATGTCACTTGCACGAAGCCAATTAATTCGCATCGAACGTTGACAACATTGAAACGAACTTTGAGGTGATTTTTTCAACGTCACCAACATGGCTAAGCGTGTAACGAATTTTTCCGGTGGCAATTGTATACGCAATATGTTGAGATAACTTATGGAATATACTGGAGCTTTTTTGGCCGCTTCTTCAGCATCAGCTTCGGCATCTTTACGGCCGATGATTAGATCAACACCTGATCGTGCAGCTTGAATCCATGTTTGATGTTCATTAAGACATACGAATGGAAACCAAACACAACGTGCTCTTTCCACATTAGTTACTGCGATACGATCATGTTCTGGACAATAGATAAGATAGACAATTGAATCAAAAATTCGAACGTTCGGATCAACACTTAGACCTTCTGGAGTTAGATTTGGTGGTAGATTTTCACGGTGAATAACTACTTCAGGTTGAAATTCAATGGGAAGGCCTGCACCGATACCGGCACTTGCAAGACTACCCGTCGATATACTTTTGGTAGCTGTTCGTTTTCCTGAATCACTCATTGCTAGACCATATAAGACTAGTTGGTGTTTCAGAAGGGGAAAATTCGTTTTGGTTTTTTATTTACGGAATTTTAAATTCAATTTTTCAATCTCTTACAATTTAATTAAATTTTCAATCAAGTTCGAATTTAAATCGCATTATTGTATTTAATTTTAATCACATAATGGCGTCGAATGCGAACCACCACTGGTGGTAGCTGGTGATGATATTTCACCGCTTACAATCAAATGATTATGAATTCGTCGCAAAGTTTCCAAATGCTCACGGCCATAATAATGTTTGGTTATTATATTTTCCAGATTTAATCGATGTCGCGCTGCTTTTGGATATTTTTTATGTTGCTAAAATATTGAATGAAGGGTCATAAAATGTTTTTTTTTAATTAAAAAAATACAAACAAATACCTTGATAAGAACATTTTTCATTTTAACAAACAACGATGCTTCTATTTTCAATTCAGCACATAATTTCGTTTCCGTATCAGAAAGTAAATGAGCCAATGATTCTGATTCATCGGCTTCTGATGTCCAACTATCCGGATCGGGTTTCATTTTCTTTTTTGGTGAACTAGATATAGGTAATGTTTCGTTTTCTGTTTCATTTTTCCAATATGATGATTGCTGTTGGTTAATAAATTTTGACATTTCTTTCATAAATTCAACATCGCCAGATTTTTGTATGAAATCTGCTATTGAACGACTTAGCGATTGAATTGATTTGTGATTGATTATTAGATTTAAACACTCCCGATCGGCTTGATTTTCATCTGCGAATAACACGTTCATTATATCAGTTTCATCCATATCGTCCAAATCTTCTACATCTATTGAATCATTTTTAGTTAGTTTCGTGGACAACTTCGTCGAGCTATTATCAGTCATATTCGTTTCTGCTTTGCCATCACCGGTGTTTTGTTCAACTTTTTGATTGATGGCTTTGTTAAACACTTGAATCATTTTGATTTTATCCTCATTTTTCAAATTATCAAGATTACTCGTTGATAATGTTGAAAATAAAAGGACTTTCTTCAACATTATTTTCAATACTTGCTCGGTGGCTACATCTTGAAATAAAGAAGTAAGATCTGGTTTGCGTAGATATCGTACAAATGGCATAAACATTGGATACTTTTCTTGAAAATCTTTAAATATTTTACTATTCGAATCACGTCGTGCTTGAAGTGAATCCTTAAAAAACTCATTTTTATGAACCTCTAAGAACAATTTGATAAGTTCATTAACACGAATGATTAGTTTTTTACGAAAGCGATTGATCAACCTTCGCTGATAAACATCAATCTGAGCTAATTTGAATTTCTTTTCAATGTCATCTTCACTTTCAGAACCAAGCGTCAAGTTCGATATCAATGTTTCTGCTTCATTATCAAATTCTCTTTCAAAATCATCACGTTTAGGTAAATAACCAAGAGAATCTAATTCCGCTTGTGGAATATCACGAAATATATTCGAACAATTATCTTTATTTGATTGAAGTTTATCATGATGGCCTCGTATAGTGAACGGAAACCGTGACAATTGTTTTACCACAGAATCGGTAAACATCCATGTCCAACATAGACGCCCAATTAGTCCATCAATGTAATGAATGTTGTAATGGCGTTCGACTTCGGCTGGTGATATATTAGTCCCGAGAGTTGTATTTATATAGTTGGCAGCATCTTTCCAGTTACCGTAACCAACACGAGTCAGCGCTTCAAATAGTGCTTTATCATCCATTGCTCGCCATTCATATTCTTCTTGGCCGGTATCCATACGAGCTGGCAATTGTGTTTGTGTCTCTTTGATTACATGATTTACAGTGAACTCTATCCCTAATTCTTCGCTCAAAAATTTTTCAAATTCCTGGTCATCTTTTGCAATGTTATCAATTTCATTATCAACTGCTGAATCCAAATCATCTGTTTCCATTGGTGCATCAATACTACCTTTATTCATTTTGAATATAGGAAACGTTCCCAGATCGATCATTTTCACTTCATGATCACGTTTATGTGAGCCAATTTCCGTGCCATATACATAGCACTAAATGCAAAAATATATTTTTTATATAAATAAAACAATTTTTATTTTTATCAAATACCTGTAAACAAAGCGAAAAATCTTCACACTCAACGCAAGAGAATAGGACATCGCGGGCTTGATTCATGCAACTAGTGCAATGATGTTTGCAAATATCCTCTGTTAGTTGATAAAGATTATTCTTAGTGAATATTCTGATAATTATTGGAAACTTAATACTTACCATTATCCATTTTATCATTTCAATTGGAAAAACAATCAAATTGGATCATTCTGAGCCTTAAGCCTCACAAAACTATCGTTACGCTAATTGAATTCAATAAATATATTCACAACAATATTGCGCGCAGAGAATTCTCTTTTTCATGTCATTTGATGAAATTCGAATATTTCATCATTAAGAATTACAACACATTTCATTTTCTTTTTAAAAATGGTACAACTCCGTTGTCGATTTGGCCATCCAATTATTCAATCGTTACCTATTGCTCAGATTGTACTCACTAATCAAAAAAAAGCTTTTTGTGATTCTTGTTTCAAAAAGTAATGAAATTATCATATTATCTTATTTTTAACTCTAATTGTTCATATTTTTTAGGATTGAAGAAACTCAACCCATAAAATGTTCACGTTGTAATAATGGTTACTATTGTTCCAAAATTTGTTTAGAAAATGAATTATCTCAACATCAAATGGAATGTCAGTTTAATTTATTTGAAAAGATTAAAAAATGCTTTTCGACATCGATCAAAATTCATACAACTGATTCGTTGAGTCAACCTGATCAATTCAATTTGGAAAATTTTTTTGATCAAAATGATTTAATTGACATTACTTTGCTGTTTTTTCGTTTGTTGAAGACTTTACTGCTCGATATTGGTGATAATTCACAGTTTTTACAATACAAAAATCCAAAAGGTTCATTCAATTGGAGGGATCTATCTATATCGATGAATTCGACATCGTTTCCAAAGCGATTATTAAAACCAAAAAATAATTTGTCACTTTATTTGTCTCGATTTGATTATTTGAATGAAGAGGAAATCCAAGAATTGGACGAATTAATTGGCTTAGATTTATCTGACGAAGAATTATTCAAATCAGTTTTTATTGAACATAATGTAAAAAGTTGTTTGAACGATGTGATTGAAATCATTTCCGAAGAGGCTTCATCTGATCAATCCGCTTCAACCATGGAAAATCAAAAATCCATTCAACATAAAAATGATGATATTTATGATGATATATTTTACTATGACAGTCATACAAGTGATCAAATCAATGCTAATGAAGCAAGTTGTCTTTTAAATTTCGATTCATCTTTGTTAGACAAATGTGAAGAAGAAGCTATTCAAATATTAAAAACAAATTATCGTTTGCTTTTCTTGGAAAATCTGTTGAAACGTTCGAAAACACAAAATAATGAATTTGATTTCTATTATAGCGTTTGGTTAGATTTGATCTTAAAATTACTATTAACTGATAAAAGTCTGAATGATTATCTTTGTAAACCAGATTTCTATGACATTGAAAAAATTTTTTTCATCACCATACGATATTCGATTGCGATAACTGATGAACTACTATTTATTCCTTTTGCTCGTGCTATTTATGTTCCGTTAATTGAAAGGAAACATTCATGCTTGCCAAACACATCTTTGATTTTTGCTGGTAATCAGCTAAACTTATATTATTTACCTGAGAAAAAAGAAGAGATATCAAAAGTTGAATTTAACTTGCCTTTACATCAAATCAGAGTGGATTTCAATCACGAAATATCTACCAAAGAAGATTCATTTACTTTGTACTTTTGGAATCGGCTTCGGTTATTGAACTGTGCATGTACACGTTGTTCACAAACTAAAAAACAACTTCGTTCCGGTGTCAATGAATGGGCTAATCACTTTATTGAAGAAAATGAAGATTTTATCGATCAAGAAAACGTTAACAGAATAGATGAGGAAAACTGCTTCAATTTTACCACCGATAATGATTATGACATGCTTTTTGCCCGCAATAATATGGAAGATTCTCTTGTTTTTGACGAGGAAAATTCGTCTAACTTTGCTGAAGAAGAAATTGATGAAAAAAATAGTATGATGGTTGATTATGATGATAGTATTGAAAAATTGAACCAAGTGTTTAATGAATATGGAAATCGATTAGATTTGCAGCATTCTACTCGAATTCAAGAGATTCTCTGCGAAACACTGCAATCATTACGTAAAGTTTTTGGTCATTATCATACACAAATAACTCTAATATTGTTGAAGGTTATTTTTCATAATTTTATCATTATCAAATCTTGTCGTGATAATGTTAAAATATTTTTTCGATTTCTTTATTTACATCATTATATTATCGAGCTTATAGATTCTGTAAGTTAAACAAATTAACATTGATATTCATACTTCTAATTCTGTTTGGTTTTTGCATAGCTTACAATAACTCATGGCTTCGAAAATGGCTGGATTTTAAAAATAAATGTTACACATCAAACTTGTCACAATATAATGACCGAAATATTCAATAACTATGCAACTGAAATAAACAATTTGCAGATAAAACTTGACAAACGTTCATACAAATTGGTTGATATCCAATCGCCGAATAGATGTGCCGATCTTGTTATATCAAGTGAAGAACTTAATGTAATTCAAAAACATATCGATACTGAAAATAATAAAAATTTAAATTATTGTTATTATAATCCATATGGTCATTATGAATCAGCAATGATGGTGGATTATGAATTCAATGTTAATGTTGACAAAACGATTAACGAAAAGGTGGACAAAATCTTGGCCAGTTTTAACGAAATTTTCAATCTGCGAAATGATTGCTAAATTAGTATTTTTTCCATTGAAAACAAATCAACTCATGAAAACCATTATGTTTAAAATTTTTTTTTACATGATCAATATGCTTTTTAATTTATCAAAATAAGTTCATGTCTGTTAAATAATAAAACTAAAAAAAATATGATGATTTCAATTGTCAAACGATAAAAATTATACTGATCAAAAGATCAAGGTGGCATATATGTTTTTGTGGCATTCCAAGTTGAAAGGTCTAGTTCGAAAAAAAAATTTGAAATTTTACGCCTTTTTACTAATAATTGGATTATTTCATACTTTACAATAAAATCAAATAGCTAGATTTTAATGATAAATAAAAAATTTTATATGGTCGAAAAAAATGTGATAACCAAACATCTTTTCAAATAAATGCATAAAAACAGCGACCACTCATACATACATGTACACTTTTTACATCGTTTTATTTATAAATTATTTCTGGGCCCGATAGGCATTGGATCGAATCAATCGATTATTTCAAGAAGACTGTCTTACAGCAAGTTCATATGATTGACAGCCATGATGGTTACGAAATTCGTCAAATCTGAATGAAAAAAATCTATTTGTTAATACGTGCACGTGTTTAATACGTATTGGTCAATATAATTTCATGTTTTTGACGAGGATTGCCATTATTAGATTTTTTTTTTGTTCAAATGTTTCGATTTGATCATAATATTTTAGTTGAAAAACTTCATCAATTAAATTATAATTTTTTACTCATTTTTTCAAAAAATGATAATGAACTCTTATGGTGTAAAAAAAGATTCGATGAATATCATCATTTTGAGAAAATTACATTGTACAACAAAAAGGTAATTTCCTTATCCTAATCAAGGCCGGAAGGAATCTAATTATAAAAAAAACGAATAAATTCAATCGTTAAATATGAAAAATTAGTTCGGTCATTGAAAGATGCTACATCATTCAAGGCCTTTAAAGAAGCCATATTGCTATGTTGAAAAAATTACATGTCCGATTTTTCCATTTATTTTTTGATGATAATAATAATTTCCATTCGTCCTTCCGTTTCTTGACTAATCATTCAATTGACTCTACTAACTAAATGATAAACATCATTTTGCACACGAAATTCATTTTCCTACTCAATTATTTGGCTCTCAAAATGATTCTAATCATCACCTGTTTGTTAAAAGAAATTGCAATCGTGCAGTTTCCGACAATGAAATTATTTCTGAAAAAATAGTTTCAAAATGACCGAAACTTTTTTCCCTTCAATCATCATCAAAATATTAAAACCGAATAATTACGCTACTGAATCGTTTTCAAGGTTACTTTCTCTGAAAAAAATAATTATACACAATCATCAAGCAAATCGAATTTTCGAATGATGTTTGCCATCATCATCGTCATCGTTGCTGTTTTTGGCAGGTTATTTTTTGCAAAAAATTTTCCATTTAGCATCTAGTTGGCAGTTTAATGATATAAATATCAAATAGGCGTGTTTTTTTGTACACACCTTTGCCATTGTCAATTCTATGGTTTGTAATTAATTTGACAAAAAAAAACAAAAAAAAATGAGAATAAAAAAATTGATCCACCTTTTTGTTTTTGTTTTTTTTTTTTTTTTTTTTTTTTTTTTTTTTTAAAAACCGGATCGAACTTTTTTTTTTTTTGTTTTGAAATATAAAAAAAGGGGTNCAGTTTAATGATATAAATATCAAATAGGCGTGTTTTTTTGTACACACCTTTGCCATTGTCAATTCTATGGTTTGTAATTAATTTGACAAAAAAAACAAAAAAAAATGAGAATAAAAAAATTGATCCCCCTTTTTTTTTTTTTTTTTTTTTTTTTTTTTTTGATTATCTTTGTTTTAGAAACCGGATCGAACTTTTTGTTTTTTAGTTATGAAATATCAAATAAGGTGTCAGATTTACAATTTGTGCATGTGGTTCTGAAAATCAATTTTTTTCGATCTACTAATCTTTGATTGCTCAATTCATCGTTTGAAATAATGTATGAATCTCTTTGGAGGCAATGATGATGATGAGAAAATAATCCAATTCGATTGTATGGAACATCGCATTACCATTAACATGAATTAAATGAATATTTGTGAATAATAAGCATGCAGAAACGTGTAAAAATTCAAGGTTATCGTTGTTAACTCATGATCATCTTAATTATCCTGAATCAATCTCAGCTTACAAAAAAAAAGATAACTATTACAAACAACAACAAAAAAAAGTTCAATTCATATGTCTAAAATTTTGTATTTTTTGTTGTTGTTGTTGTTCTTGAAGTGAAATGCATTTCCATCATTATCGTCATTAGTTTTCATTCAAAACATTTTTCTATTTCCGACAATTCACTATCATGTAAATTATCAATAAAAAGGGTACACTTATATTCAATCATGTTAGCGTTGTTTTTTGGAACACGATTAGAATTCAAAACATCAAATTGTTCGCAAAACAATGTGATTAGTGATTTACACAAGTGGTGAATTGTTGATGAAAATCTCATTTTGTTATTGTCATAAAAAATCATGCAAATAAATTCAGATACCCAAGTTATGATTAGAAATTATAAATCACTTTAATCGTTGGTTAAATTTTCTCCATTCAGTATTAATGTTCTAGAAAAATTGATCACTAGTTTGTGTTATTTATATTAATACAAAGGTATGTTTTTATCATTATTATTATACTCTTCATTCGTACAAATAAAATCCGTCATTCATAATGAAAATGAACAATCAAGTCCATGTCTGTCCACCATTGTTTCGATTTGTCGATTGATATAGCCTGTCATCAACAAGTAATTTTCTCTTTTTCCAAATTCATTCTCACGTATTCTCCAACACACATGTATACAAATGTTTGAATTCACAAATACATAGACATTCATGACTATCGATTTCCAAATCTCTATTCATTCTTTTTTCAAGTAAAAAATTTCCTCTCCATTTTACTCTGTTCATTGTTCCAGGATCAATTGATCAATTCCTAACTGTGATGACTACATTAGTCACTCCCTAGTCCATGAATATTTACGCAAGTTTTCTTCCATACCATCATATATAAAAGGCCATATCTATGTTCATCACTTAATTCAATCAAACTGTTTCAACCATTATCAACACAAAGATAAATATTTAAAAAAAACAAAAATGAAATTTTTCATTGTAAGTATATTTTGTTGTGCTTCTGATGGATTATAATGTGCTATCGAATAATACGAATAATAATTATGATTATTAATTAAAACGATCTATTACTTTCAATCATCCATTCTGAATATACAGGTTGCTTTGAGCCTTATCTCCGTTGTTGCTGCTATCCCAGCCATCGGTCATTTGGGTTACGCTGCCGCTCCATTGTCATTGGGTCATACTGCATCGATGGCAATCGCTGGTCCAGCTCTCGCAGCCTATCCAGCTGCTTATGGTTATGCAGCCCATGGCCCAGCTCCTGCTGGTATTCCTGGTGGTTACGGTTTTGGTCCAGGAGGTCATTTCTCACCAATGCCAATGCAAGAAATTCAATTAGTTGGTGTTCCACAACCATATCCAGTCGCTCAACCAATTCCAGTCGACAAACCATACGCAGTTCCAGGTAAGTCTAGTAATTACATGTTTTGATGAAAAGATGAATTAATTCAAAATTTTTATCAATATCACAACAAATCAGTCGACAAACCATACACCGTTCCAGTTGATCGACCAGTTCCAGCACCATACGTTGCCAAAGTTGTTCAACCAATGATCCATAAACAAACTGTTGTCAGCTCTGCCATCCTTCCAGCACATAAATAAATAAATTCATTCATTTAATCTTCTACATCAGATATGAAAATAACCGAAAAACTAGATTGTCAAGTCACATCCATCTGAGTAAATCAAGTTCAGATTCATTATTGTATTGTCAACATCTGTAATAAAAATACAATTTTGTATAAATAAAAACTAATTTTTTAAAAACCAAATTAATCTTGATTCGATTTTTTTTTGTTCACTGAATTTCACTGCTTCGATCAATACTCATGATAGTATGATCATGCTATTATTGTCGATTTTATTTAAAATTAGTTCCCGTTTTTATTGATTATTATGATAATCAAACTGATAGTTTTTTTTGTAAGCTTTTTTCAACGTTCAAGTTGGTATTATCATCTGAATCAAAAACTTTGATATTTGATATGTTTTAATAACGATAAATTATTTCTGTATCATTCTCCATAATTATTCTCTATTTTACACATGATGCTCGCAATCGTCTGATTAGAAACAAAACAAAAACTCCAATTTCAAAATGAATTGAATGATTTTACTTAAAATCTTTGATTTTTAGGTAAAACAAGTAATTATTTAGTATTTTGTCATATTGCTAATTTTTTTCATTTCAAAAAATGGTCAAGATTCTCAATACTAAGAATGACAACTATCAACAATCCAATCGTTGGAAAATATTAGGCATATTTTTTGGTTATGTTATTTATGTATATAATAAAAAATCTTTGATACCATTATTTACCGAATTAATTAGCGAATTTGGCTTTTCCGAACAAGATGCTGGTATGTCTCTGGTCTATAATTCATCTTGTAATTTTTAGGTTATTTTTGAGGTTTTATAACCAGTGCGCAACAAGTGTCCATTTCGGTGGTCACATTTTTAGGTGGAATATTGACCGATTATTTACCATCAACATTTTTATTTTCTGTTGGTCTTTTAATTACCGGAATAACTACATTGTTCTTTCCATCCGGTACGAATGTCTATTACTTCGCTACGATTTGGCTAATTAATGGTATTGGTCATGGCCTGGAATTGCCCACTGCGATATGGTTGACGAAACATTTTAGTACCAAAGATACGTTCGCAACTAACTGGTCGTTTGTGATGACGGCCGTTAATATTGCCGGTATTATCACTCCAACATGGTCAATCTTTCTTAGCAGTAATTTTGGTTGGAAAATGGCCCTATATATTTCGGGAACATTGACATTTGCCACTGGATTAGTCATGTTAATCTATTTTAGAGAAGAATCGAATCTAAAAACGAATCATCAAAAAGAAAATGAAGAAACAATCAAGAAAACAACTGAAACTAAAATGGGTGTATGGGATTTATTTATTTTTTTTCCACCGATATGGATTGTTATGATTAATCGGTAATCAACTAAAGGATATATGCATCGAATCTAACACATGTTTTGTCTTTCCATTTAGTTTTGTAGTTGGCCTATATCGTTTATCTGTGCATGATTGGTCACAGTTATTTTTCGCATCCTTTCATCAATATAATGATCATAATAACCAATATTTAGCTAGTATATTCATCACCGTTTTCGAATCTAGTAGTATTTTCGGGAAACTTCTTTTTGGCAAAATTAATGATTATTTTATGCGAAAAAAACTAACACTAGTCAATAATAGAGGGCCATCATCAACATTGGTCGTACGTTTATCCATAGCCATAGGTTTACATTTGATCTCAGCGTTTGCATTGTTCTTATATTGTAATCTCTTATCAACAACTAAAAACATATCGATTTTTGTTTTAGTTGCTGTGATAGCAGGTATATCATCAGCTGGTAACGTTATCACATTAAGCATATTATCCACTGAAATCGGGGATGAGAAATATCAAGGTCTCATTACATCGTTATGTAATCTGGCCACTAAACGTAAGAAATGAATAGAATATATTATTGTTGGCATAATTAATTTTATTTTGTCATAGTTGGAGCATTATGTTCGGGATATCCTTTCACATTAATTGCCTTTTTGATTGGTTGGCATGGAGCTTATACCTTTGTAATGATTATTATTATATTGACACTAACACTTGACATGGTATTTCATGTTCGTTGCAATAGTTAATCTCGAATAGATGAAAAAAATCAATTAAATCCTAGGTGATTTCGAAAATAAAACATAGTAAAATTACAAATTATGATTTATATTAACTTTAGTATTTGGACCAAGATGAAAATCCTTTCGGTGAAATTGAACAAATATGAAAATTCTATCTTTACAAAATGTATTTTGAGATTTTTCTTCCTGTTTTTTTCGTCAAGTTTTTTTTTGGTTTCTTATATGGTCATAAAATATTTATTGTTTATGATGGTTAAACTTGATTTGAGATCTTGGCAAAGTGGTAAAAAAATGGTTAGAAATTTCAACCACCGTTGGAATCGAGTTTTTCTGTGTTTGATGATAAGAACACATTGCCGAAAGGAATGCAAATCAACGAGTTAGTTGATAACAGTTTGTTGCCTGCACTTATTTTAGTTTCTTCACACGATTATCATTATCGCGATTAGCGGTTTGACCAGTACATGCATGTATTGCATATGAGTTGGGTCAAAAGTCACCATACACTAGCAGTTTGTTGCAGAAGTTGTAAACGAATCATATAAAAAAGCTGATCGAAACCAGCAAAACGGTCAGTTTGAATTTTGTATTCGTCAGTTTCATCTTGCTTCAAAATTCGAAAAAAATCATTTCTCCAAAAATGTTCCGATTTATTGTATTTACTATTTTATTATTCTTGGCTGGCACTAACCATGCTGCATCATTACATCGATTTCATAGCGGTGATTGTCCACGTATAGAACCTATGGCCAATTTCAATATTGATCGATTTCTTGGAGAGTGGTTTGTGCTCGAAAATGCCAATGATAATGGACAAGTTTGTCTTCGTGAAGAATTTAATGCTAGCCAGGAAGCAGTTGTAGTGATGCCCAAACATGATGAAAATCTCTTCGATATGGCACGCAATGAACTTGAGCCAACTGGCCGGCCAAAATATGAGACCGAGGATGACATGAAAATCATGGAAAAAGCTTATTATGTCAAGCGAAGCTATCTACCGTTTGGTGGACGTCAAATTATCAGCGAAACAGGTATGAATTTTTGTTTTTGTTTATTATTCTACCTAAAACCTAAAATATAGAAAATTTATCTCTTAAGATTATGATTGTTGATTATTAATGATAATTTTCATGTTTTTTCTAATAGGAAAAATATCATTTTCATCGAATACAAGTCAATCGGAAATGGAAATCAGCTTGCCTTATGCTGAAACAGGAATGCTCAATATTAAACATTATGAAGTTATATCCACTGATTATGATCGATTTGCTTTGGTTTGGCGCTGTCAAAAGACTATTTTTGGTCATCGTCGTTCAGCACAGCTCATGTCACGACGATCTGAATTGGATGAAAAGTCTCAACAAGAATTGCAATCATTGATACAACATTTTGAAGCCCAACATGATATTAAATTCACACCTGTTCGTCAGACAAATTGTAATGAAGTCTCGGCTTTAGAAGCACAAGAATCAACAAGTTCAACACCAATGACAAAACGACCACCATCATCATCGGTCGCCGACACTTCCCCTATTCATACTCAGGATACTAATGGCGAACCACCAAAATCCAAAAACAAAAAAAAGCTGATCAACATTGAAATCGGAAGTTTTCAGCTTAGTATTTCCTATCCTTTTTTCTAAATTATTTCAAAACCAATATTTTGCATGATCTAAATGATTTTTAATCAATTTCATTTTTGTACTATGATTTATTAATGTATTACAATCGTAAATGTATTCATATCTGTCATCATGTTCAAGATCTCTAAAGAAAGAAAATAATAAAGCACTAATATTTGAGCTTACCTCATAGTTTCTGAACGAATCAATACATGCACTTACAATCTGAATCTTCGGATTAGACATGATATTTTTTTTCTCTAATAACAAATTGTCATTGAACGATCATAAATCATCTGATAAAATCATTTGATGATTTGATCAAAGTAAAACTTCAACTAATACAATGTTCATGTTGTGGATGTGATTACAATGTTCATCATAAAGAAATTTCAAAGACTTTCAGATCTAGGTCTATTCTCATACAATCGATGTGAATGTACATAAAGTAAACAGTATAATTTATTCCGTTATTGATTAAAACATATTTAGATTCACCATGCTGCTTCATTTGATTGATTATTAACAATGGCAATGATCATCTCATCATTCGATTAATTGATTGTGTTTTAAAATTTTGGTCAAGGATTACCTGACATTGAAATTATATGAATTCATATAGTTTGCCTCATGTGATTATGAGCATCAAGTTTGAAAGATCAACTGAAAAACTTTTTCTCATTAAGTTACCATAGTAAATTGGGTGATAATAATGATAATGATGATGATGGACAGACATAGGTTTATGAAAAAAGATGGGTGGATTGTTTTCTTGTCTTGTTTTTAAAAAATTGATTTATCATTTCAAGAAAGTGGATCATTATACATTTCGTTTTCTATTCCGACATAGTGTGTTTTCCTTTCACCTTCACTGTCTATTTCGTATATTAAATATGGTGTGTCGAAATTTCATAATTTCGTTAACGATCCTATTATTTTTCGTGATGTTTTAGAGATAAATAACAGACATGAATGAATATATTTTTAGCCCCTCTTGTCAACATTAATTCAAGTTTTTATCAATTGATTGATTGATTGATAAGTAAATTAACTTTCATAATCCATCAAATCAGAAAATTTATTGATTTATTTGAGTTATTTTTTTATTTGTACAAATGTATGACTTGAAGATTAATATAGAATGATTTGATTTATATTATTTAATGACCATAGCCATAAGCCAATGGGGCACCATAGCCCAATGGAGCATAGCCGTGGCCAATAGCCAATGGAGCAGCACCAAGAATTTTACCATATCCGTAGCCCAAGGAAGCAGCAGCCACTGGAGCAGCATAATTATAACCATGGGCAACAGGAATAGGAGCAGCTGCGATCACTGGAGCTCCATGTGAAACCGAAGTGGATACATGCGTTCCGATTGGCACGAGCGCAGATTTTTGTGTCTGATAAGTGTAGGCAGCTGGAGCTAAAAGAGCTGGAGCCGGAATGGCCGAAGCAACCACCAAAAGTGAGGCAAAAGCAATCTTTAATGAGAAATCAATGAAAAAACTAATTTCAATACCGAAATACAGAATTACTTACAATGATTTTCATTTTGGATAGTATTCGGTTATGTATTTTTACGATTCAAAGAATAGTGAGCTAATGAGCGACGTTTGAGACGCGTTTTTATACGGCGATTAAGAAGAAGTTTCAAATTTTTTCAAGACCAAAAAGGATGTTCCATATAAATGTTGCATCTACGTCTTTAATTCATTCAGCGCAACATTCTAGCCACAAAATCATGTTATTAAATTTAAACACAAAGGGCTTTCTTCAATATACAAGAAGTTTCTCTTTCATCATCAACGCTATGATCATCCTCATGGTTGTTGTACAACAGGCTTTGAAATTTCCACTTGTTCATGAATACAAACGATAGATTTGTACATTCAGATGATAAACATGTATTTGTTTTTATGTTTCGAATATGATCGAAAGAACATTATATTAAACGATTTTGACATCTCGAATAATTCGACATTGACAATCAAAAGATGATTTTGATTAATACAAAAAAAAAATAATTAAATTTAAGACGCAAATATCAACGTCCACAATGATCATACAGGCTTTCGTAGTTGACCATCAATCCGATTAACGAATGCATCTGATCCGATTCAATGGTGATCAGGTGATTCTTATTAAAATCGAATCTTTTTATTTTTTGGGACGCAAATAAAAATGAATAATAAAACGCATTGTTTGTTTGGATGAAAATTATTTAATTGTTATTTATATAATCCGCATCGAATCGATTCAGAAAATATAGAAAACATAATGATGAATGATGTGATATTAATATAAGCATTTAAATTGGATCAATTTAATGCATCATACCATGACCGTACATGGCACCATGCATCATTGGAGCACCATGCATCATTGGAGCACCATGCATCATTGGAGCACCATGCATCATTGGGGCAGCGTGCATCATCGGGGCAGCGTGCATCATTGGGGCAGCGTGCATCATTGGAGCAGCGTGCATCATTGGTGCAGCGTGCATCGTTGAATGGACCATGGTTTTAACTGGAATCAAACCTAGAATAGCATAAAATTAATTTGGACAAATTCTTAAATAAAAATCGGGTTTAATTTTACTTCGATGCGTTGATTGATAGGTGACAGCGGCTGGAGCCATCATGTGCATGGCTGGAGCCATCATATGCATGGCTGGAGCCATATGCGTTGGAACGGCGGCAGCAACGGCCAAAAAAGCAGCGAAAGCAATGATGAATTTCATTTTAGTTTCGTTACGGGTTTTTTCTGGATTTTAAGCTGAATTGCGATTGAATAATTTTTTGCTAGATGGATTCGATTAGTGGATGTCGTTTGGCTTTTATACTGGACGAATGGGCTTTTCAAGCTTACGAAAATATTTCTGAATCTAATTCGAATGCATTACAAAAAAAAGAAACAAAATATTGCTAACGGTCGGTATAATGATAATGACTAGGACAATGTAGGCTTATTTCCCAATAAAAACAATTCCATCAATTCCAATTTCAAGTTTTTACGAACATTTCCTATAATAAAAAATACAATCATGACGTGTTTATTTGTTTTTAGGAGCAGTTTTTGCACTTAGAATAACGTGTCAAAAAGAGAACACAATGTGAATCAATGACGAGAGACTACGTCACATAAAGACAATAAACAATCGATGAAATTTGGATCGACCATTTTGGACAATTTGTTGGCATTGGAATCTTGTATATCAATGTCATAATTGGTTATTTCCATTACAAACTTGCGGTCCATTTTATTTAAAAAATAGCTTTTCTCATTCAATTATAGCTAAGATAAATGTACGATGAAATAAAAATCCGTAAATCGATCGGGTGGTGCTGCTTCTTAAATGTTGATGGCCACAAGATTTCCATTGTAGATGACATGAATATAATTAATGCCATTTGTTATTGTTCAGCCCAAATGAAAAATTCGCTCATATCGTAACCCTGAATCTGATCGATTTGCCTGTTGGCTGAATTGAAATTATTCTCCTCACAATTAAGGTATGCAAACAATCACAAATTAACGCAAAACTAAAAATAGATTAAATTATTTATTTTTCAAATTGATCATTATCTTTTTTGCAGTAAATAGTCATTTTTTGATTGAATTCAATTTTTAATAACATGTCAATCATTCTGATCGCGATGTCAATATTTTCGTTTACAAATCGAAGAAAAAATTTAAAAATCAGAAAGTTACCTTACTCTTGCAATAGATGGTGCAGATTAGAAATAGCTTTTGAATTTTAGACACAGATATTTAATTTCAAAAACAAAACTCAAATAAAAACAAATATTTTATTGCAAAAGGCACCATGCATTCTATTTTTTATTCATTTTAAAATTTGAAATTCCTATAAAATTGATTTTGTGAGGTACGGACAAGAAGACAAACCAATTATGACTGAATAAACCAGCCTGGAAGTTGGAATATAATATATACAAATCATTGCAAATAAATTAATTATAAACTAACAACATCAATGACGAACAGATGAAGAATGAAAAAAAGATTTCAAAAAACAACAAAAACAAAAGGCACATCTTCCACATATAGATTTCGGTTCATCATCATCTTCATCGCTATCCGAACGTTTATCAGCATTTTCGTTTAACATTACGATTCAACTTGTTGAAGTATTGGTGATGTTCGAAGATGTTTCATTATTATTACTGGGAGTTACAGATATTTCACTTTTCACCGAATTGTTTCCACTTCCAGAAGTGCTATCGGTTGCAGCACCACCGCAATCTGATGTTGCTCCGGAATCGCAAACAGCTTGTTGCGATACATTTGTATTGGCAATATTATCATCTTCACTTTCTAATGAGACTAGTGCAGATAATAGATCTGAACGTTGTTGTTGCGTCATGCCTGAATGAATCAGCTGCACTAAAGCGTCAAACGTTGCAGAAGGAAAATCCTTGTAAAGGCTGTCGATTAAAAAAGAATTATAATCAAGTTGATTAATTTATCAGTAATTCTTACCCCTGAATTTGTCTGGTCAAAGCATCTCGTTGTATACAACGAATATTGTCTAGAACTTGTGATGATGGAGCTTTCAATTGTGATTCGAGCCATTGAGCCACGATTCTGTTGTCTTCCCATTGATGTTGCTAGTTTAATGAATAATAATAACGATCATCATTATAACATAATCAACATCAATTATTCAATTGCAATTAATAAACTTACATTATGTTGCCCTGTATGTTCAACAAACCAACGACGAATCATTGAACGGGCTTCGGCATCATTTTTATTCAATATGACTCGTTGGATTTCATTCTTTACTCTATTCTCACAAAGTCGCCGTTTTAATACCCAATAGAAATATTGACGAGATGTACGCCATGGAACAACTTCAGTAATACAACTCTTTTCATACATTCTAACAGGAGTATCATGAAGATCGGCGAAGGATAAAGCTACTTGATGATACATGCTCATCAACATTTGTTCACGTTCCTTCAGTTCATTCTCAATACTAGTTTTTTCTTCGAGTGATGTAGCTTCGCTCATCAATTCTATAAAAAAAACATTTGTGATAAAAATGATTAAAAAATAATAATAACTTACTGTTTAGTCGTTTACATTCGGGATCACAACGAAGCATTGTTTTGATCAAATCTTTTTGACGGAAACGAATTTCGACGGTACCTTCGGGTTCAAGTACACCGCCACGGCTATCAGTATCAGCATACATTTCCATATGTTTGGGATTAATCGTAGCGTCTTGAGATGTTTTGTAATCAGTAAAAGTAGCAAAGAACTTGAAATAAAAACTTACCAAGAACGGCCCATGCTCCACCACGAAGTTCGCCATATGGTGGAATATAGACAATGATAGGTTGATTGTATTGATGCAAAGCATCGACAATGTAAGCGCCGAATTTGACTACTTGATCATACATGTCTTTCATACCACCGGAAAAACCTCTCCAATTAGCAAAAATAATCAAAGGTAAATCTTCCCGATTAAAATCCTGTATGGCTTGCGCAGTTTTGTAGGAAGAATCCGGAAACCAAACTTGTCCAGCTTGTGATACAACTTTAGTTTCTGAATCCAGATTAGCAGGATCAGCAGGAATAATCAATTCAACTGCCCGAGTTTCAACAGCAATCACACCAACTGGAATACCACCAAGTCGAGCTCGTCCCGTTACAACGGTCAATGCCCAACCGGACATAATTTCTTGCCAAGAACCACGATCGAAGAAGCCATCTTCCCATAAACCTTGATTGTTTTCTCGACCAGACAACATCCATCGCGGATCATAAGGTGAAGGTGAAGGAGAAAAAGTCACTTCCCGTTCTATCGGATCTATTGATTCCATAATTGGCAATGGTCGATAGCGACGATCCGGCATATAGGACAACCATCGCAAAATTGTTGACACTCCTTCCAGGTCATCTTGAGCGGTGACATGAGAAACGCCGTTCGCGTACATTATTTGTATGCCGCCTGTATATAATAGCGATAATAAAGAAATCATGTTTATAAATCATGTTAAAATTACAACTTGCCTAATTGATTATTCGAAGTATATACTTCACGACCAAGTAATTTGTTCAGAGCACTAGCTCCAGTCAAAATGATATGCGAATTTTCGATTTGAATCACTCGTTGAGAAAGACGAGCCAGATAGGAACCAATACCAATGGCTCGACAAGTAACCATCGTTATGGTAACGATTTCATTGTAGGCTTGAGATGATTCTCCGGCTATCATACCAGCGTATTTGAGATTTTCCACGCTTAAACCATCTTGTGCGCCAATAATATCGGTAATTTTGTATCGTGTTTCACCATTTTCTACAATTAGCTCACACTTTACAGAATCAGCAAGTCTTTTATATTGTTCCGGAGTCAGATAAATATATTTAAATCCTTTGTCAGGATCTTTGTCATCAAACCAGGCAATCTATTTATAATGATAAATCTATTAGTAAATCGGAAAAGTAAATAAATGAATGAATTTACATGAAAAGCATTTTTGACTTCTTCAGCCAGACCGATTCGCGCGCCAGAATTAGCCGATAGATAAATACGGGGGATTTTTAATGCTCGTGCTCTTTCCGAAGCTTTCTGGAAAAGCATATCTTCTTTTGGCCCGAAAACACCCAATAAATGAGTTATATCATTACCAATGACAATAATATCACGACCTTCAGGATATTCGGGAGTGAATAAAGTGATTCTCCAAGCAACCATTCCACATTCATTTTCGCCTGGTACTCGTCTCATTTCAACTAAACGCGTTGGATTGGCCTGTTCGATGACTAGTTCCATACATTGCATTACTTGAGCTGGCATTTGCATTTCTGGATGTATTTCAAGATATTCTTCCCAAATTTTGATCAAAGCTGCTTGAAACATATCCGGAAAATCGTAAATATAAGTAGTTCCATTTGATTGAGCTTGAAATCGTTTCAATTGAAGATAATCTTTTGTCATATATGGTGTCGAAATAGGAAGATCGTGCAAATGGCCAGGTTTCCCAGTTCCGGGCCATGCTTCAAATTTCATCGTTCCAGACAATGTGTCTAAAACTTCTTTATAAAGATGCATATCTAAATAATAACCAGATTCATTGGCCAGTAATAAACGAATTGGAGTACATTTCGAATTGGGCGAAGGTCGAATAATCATTCTGATTTCGGCTTGCAAAACACGGAGCTTCCATAGTCGTGGTCCATATCGCATCACCATGTTGCGAACATTTTCAGCTATCTATTAAACATATTGAATATAACGGAAGATTTATGATATAAAAGATTAAAAATTAAAAAATTATCTCATCAAACATACGTAGGGTACTTTGGCCGGATCCATTGTTACTTTGGGTACAAAATTTAAAAAGATGTGATTGCAATCGGTTTTGGGTGCCAAATGATGAGTAAAAGCAACTTCCAATTCATCCATTGCTTCAAGCAAAAGACGCTCACCTATGATCAGATCAATTTAAAAGTATGCAACATTTTAATAGTGTGTTTACCTTCATTTTGCAAAAATTCATAGCTAGCTTCCTTGGTGATCAAATCAGAATGGCGAATTATGGTACGAACAAAAAATCGAAAATCCGTAACTTGTTGACCAGGAGAACGAACTTTTGCTTTTCCGAGATATAAATGCATTTTGTTTTGACTGGCTGTAGGGACAGCTTCCAAATCATAATTTCTGAGACGATTAATTTCAAGTTGAAAAGCTAATGCTGGTTCTAAATGTCTGTAAATTTTATCTTCTGTATAGCCATCACGGTAACGATATGTAAAATAACGTGGAAAGCGATATCTATCACAAATAACAAAAGTAGCGCGACGAATGGAATGTTTTTCAAGTTCAGAATAATGTTGTTGACAAAATTCTTCAAATTGTTTGGTCAACGTAACATCATCCTGGCCTTCACATTTTATCGTAATGTTCAGTATATAGATTGGTTCAGGCTCTTCCAACAATGAAGAACTTACTGAACGCTTAGCCAATGTTTGTTCATTTAGTGAATTGGTAGATGATGCATTGATATCACCGTTAACAATCGACCAAACACTATCGGATCCATTTAGTTCATCATCAACTCGATGAATAATGGTGAGCAATTCGGAAAAATTAGCATCTAATTGTTCCATATTAAGAAAAGAGGCGATCAAACCGACACGATAATTATTATGATTGAAATAAAGAGCATCATCAACACCGGTAAATGCTGGAGTGGTTGATTGGAGATTTGATGAAGAAGCCGATGATGTAAGCTGATTGGCGGTAGTCGATGGATGGGAATGAGGCAATAAAAAATGATATACAGCACAAGGTATCGATAGGTCACGATTTCCGGCGGCAGACATAGACGCTGGACCTATGGACATAGAATTCGGACTTCCATATAATCCTTTTGATGTGTAAAGGCTATCTGCAGCCGATCCTAGCGTAGTGCTTCCGATCGGCAATTGATTAGAACCACCGACACCGATGACTGAATGCTGTAATGATATCATTTCATAAGAAATATATGCACGACGAACATAAACTTCCTGTGCAGCACGACGAACAACACTGTTTGGATGGTAGAAAAATTGGTGCAACACATCAAATATTGAAGTTTCACTGATGATCAATTTATTCAGTACGTTCGGCTCGAATTCATGTGAATAGATGTCGATAGCGGATAGAAAAATAGATTCCATTTGATTATGACGTAAGGCATAAGGTGGTTGATGTGCCGATATCAATACCTGTCTTGCTCGAAGAGCAACTTTAGAATTTTCCGATTTATTTAGTAAAGTCAATGCATTTAATATCGAGCTTAGTTCATCAGTTATACCAGGTTCTCTTCCGCAAAGATGGTCGATAAGTTTAATAATAAGTTGATTCTTACGACCAACAGCCAAATGTGAAAAAATGATTTGTACGACTTTTTGCATGCCTTCATCTTTATATTTTTCTCGCATCGCAGATACACATTTATCGTAATGACCAAGCTGGAAATGTTGTTCAACTTCAATATAATTACGAATCAAATCCTGCACACAAGAACGCATTCGACCTCGAATTCCATTACGATATCGCTGTACCAGTTGCACAATGCCTTGAGTATTCAAGAAGAAAACATCACGATCGGAACGTTTTTGTAATGTGGCTGCGTACGAATCAATGACAGAAGCAATCTGCTGTGAAGGAAATGCAGCTAAAATAGCAGTTATATTGCTGGAATAATTGTTAAGCAATTTTCGAATTGATTTTTCTACTTGAGGTGGAATACGTCCAGAAGTTGAAGCGATAATATCTTGAAGTTCTAATAGCGGTAAACGAGGATCACGTAAACAATCCATAAATGTTTCGACATAATGAGTCATGAAATTGCTGAAATATGGTTCTGACAAGACGTAACCGGAAAGAACATTACCCAAATGAGTTTTAGCTTGTTGAAACGTGACATTCAATTTAGGCTCAACATGCGTTCCATGAGAATCGTTTGTAGATGAAGACGATGAGGCACCGGAAACACCAGAATCATTTTCACATTCTTCATCCAAAACATCAAAACCTTTAGTATAAAGTTCGGCACGATGTACACGACTTGGATCATCAAGCTCTAATCTAGCCAAAATAGATCCAGCTTCGAGAACTGCCCCTGAACGTTTGGCATGTTGTAACACTCCAGATTCTTGTGTAGTTAATGTCATCACCATTTTCATCACTTCGATTTCAGCGTACGCTTGGCCAGCGTTAACGTGCGAACCATCTTCGATAAGAAATTGTAATAATTTACCAGTGGATGGTGATCGAAGAATAGTAGGATCATTTTCTTTTTCAAATACACAGGTTTGATTACCGATTACAATTCGATATCTATCTACTTCTTCTTTCATATAAGTAGTGTATGATGAATGATCGATGGACAATAATAGTCCCGAATCAGACATACGATGTACTTCAATTTCCTTGTAAGTGCCATTCATGATTAAAAAATATGAATTAGATCCAGATTTTGTGACTTTAACGACGTATTTTTTTCCTTCATAGATTAATTCTACATCTTCATTATTTGTCAATGTATTAGCCGGTAAAATTTGTCCTTTTTGTAATGAATTTTGGAAATGTTGCCAATTGGACACCATTTTAGAATCAACAACGTGAATGCAACCACAAATTAATGCTAATGAAGTTTTTGGCTTGCCCGATTGAACGCGTTCAGCAATCAATTTATCTAACCAACCGGTATTGAAATTATTTCGCTGAAAATCTTCTGTTTCTAAAAGTGTAATCAGATATTCAACTGTTGTACGGAAATCACCACGAATCGATAGTTCTTTCAATGCTAAAACCATATTTTCTCGTGCCTCTTCGCGATCTTCACCCCATGAAAAACAATGACCAAATTGTGAATCAGCAAATTCATGCAAACCACCGAGAGCACCGACGGAAAAATAACCCCAGACATTTTTCGAACTTTTGAAATTCAATTCTTGAACAGTACCACTGGAAGGTTTAAAACCTTCATCCGGATTTTCTGATGTAATTCGTGCTGCAATAACATGTCCCCAAGGTCTGTTTCGGACATGATTGTCGAAATCGATTTCAGTATCACCGAACGGTGACTCTCCATAAAGTAAACGGATTTCCTTAATTCTATTTAGTTTGAGACCCATAGCAATTTGCAGTTGACAGGCAGGCAAATTAACATCAGCAACCATTTCTGTACAAGGATGTTCAACCTGAAGCCGAGGATTCAATTCAAGAAAGTAGAATTTTTTGTTTTGTGGATCATAAAGATATTCGACGGTGCCGGTGCTAACATAACCAACCATTTTAGCCAAACGAACGGCAGCTTTTTCCATCTCTTGGAATGTACTTTCATCGGCAATAATGCACGGTGCTTCCTCTATAATTTTCTGATGGCGACGTTGAATTGAGCAATCACGGCCAAATAATGAGATGGCATTACCATAATGATCAGCTAATAATTGCACTTCTAAATGACGAGCACAGGTGGCCAATTTCATCACAAATATTGGACTGCCGGGAACTTCATTTTGCACTTGACGAAACATCTGTGGAAAATCATCAGGAGATTCACTTTTTCGTATACCTTTACCGCCACCGCCTTCAGAAGCTTTTATCATAACTGGAAATCCGATTTTCTGTGCCGCAATCAAACCTTCATTCACATCAGTTACACAACCTTTTTGATAAAGATCTGGTGGTATTTTGAATGTTTTTCCCTCTTTCCATCCCGGACAAGTTAATCCAGAACCAGACCATGATAAAGTTGGAACCTGGGCCGTTTGAGCTACGATCGATGAAGCGATTTTATCACCAAGTGCCCACATAGCATTACAAGGTGGACCCATGAATGCGATGTTAGCCTTCGTAAGCAATTCAGGTAAGCGTGGATATTCCGATGCATGTCCCCATCCAGCCCAAACACCTTGCACATTCATTCGTTTGGCAATGTCAACAATTAATTCGACATTAGCATAATTGTTATTGTTAGTTCCACCAGGAACTGGAACATATTGATCAGCCATTTTGATGTATTCAGCATTTGCCTTGAGATCTTCAGGTGTTACCTGGAAATAATTGAAAGAAATTATAAACCATATGAACACGTGGAAAACATGCAAAACATTACCATGACAACAAAGCGGATGGCTCGTTCATTCCGAAAAATCTCATAGGACCAACGACGTATGGAACGCATACATTTAACTGCAGCGATACCATTATTCGCAATCAATACTTTATTAATCACACGTGTACCACCAAAACGTTTGATAAATTCTTCTGGTGTTGCGATCGTAAAATCCTGTTTGTCGGCACGATCCTGGCTAGACAGATGTATACCAGACATTGATTGTCGTAATTGTCTTGTTTGCCTATTGATACGTTTAGTATCCATCGTTATTGACAAAAAATTTTGTCCTTTATCACTGGTTTCTGTGGGGCTAAGGGCATCCAGCAGTATGTTAGATGCTTTTAAATGATTAGAAATGCTATTTTTGTTGTTTAGATTTGATTTTTTGAAATCTTCTTCATTGGAAGATGACGAATCACTATCGTCAGGTGCCTGATCGATTGTAAATATTGGTTTCGTATAATTTTTCTGGTTTTTGGCGTCAAAAGGAACACTATTTGTGATATCACTATCTTGCTCTATTGGACGTTGTTGATTCAGTTGAGATTCACTAAGGCGACAAAAATTTCAAAGAGAAAAAAAACGACAATTAATTTCAAAAAATAAATTGTAAAAGAAAAAAGCTTGTAAATCAATATGCCAAACAATTTCGCTGAAAAATGTGCAAATGTGAATTGAAAAGAGATTGAGGCAAAAAAAGAAATGAAAATTCAAAAATGAATGAAAATCATATTGACACAAGAAAATCACATCATAAACTTGATGAATGAGGAAAAAAATGCTAACTACACGTACGTATAAAGCATTCACCAACAAAACATAGGTGATAGTATTTATAACCACATCTATAATCGTTTGAAAAATTAAAAATGATAAAGGAAAATTTTACCATTCAAAAAGAATACAATTTCTATTTTCAAATCAGAATGTTATTATTTTTAAAACAAAAACATTCAGAATATTGAATTTGAGAATTTTGATCAATAATGAAGGGAAAAACAAGGAAAACATTTGTAAAAAATCTATAATTATTTTTATTGGAAAATCAAAATCAACAGCAAAACAGGCAAAACTTTATAGATTGAGTGATCGTCATCATTTTTTTTCATTTTCAATTTCATCACATTCGTTCAAGTTTAGATGGACTTGTTTTTTTTTCACACAACAACAAAATATTCAATTCAACCAACAAACCTAAAGATGAAACTGTTGGTTGTAATAGTAATAATAATAATAATCAACATGGAAAGCAGAAGCAATCCAACACTGAGATAAGGATAAATAGTATTTTTTTCTTTCTGTTTATTGCACATCAAAACACAGGAGCCAAGCTTGCTGAGGGAAAACATTCATAATTTCTGGGTAATGAAGAAAAAAAATTAGTGAAAGAGAAAAGAAAAAAAAAGATCAATGAATTAAATAAGTCGTAATATATATGAGGACAACAAGATTTTTTTCAGAAAGCTTTTACTCCTCAATAAATAGCGAATACAATATCGATTAACTTAATGAGGATGACTTATATAATGTTACATCATCAAAACGGAACAACTACATGATTACACATTGTGTAAATACTTTTTACTTCCAACTTAAATCAAAACATCACGAGTTTTTTTTAATTTTGACATTAAACAACGAAAAAAATAGCGACAAGGTTGTATGATATACGTGAAAAATGACAAGAAATTCAGTTAATGTTTTTTAAAAGCTGGATTTTAGAAAAAAAATGAATGAATGATTAACCATCAATGTTGATCATTGTACAATGATCAGAATTATTTGGCCATCAAATCCTGACCATAGTGGAGATGAATGAATCAATGAAAAAAAAATCTTACCGTTTTTTTTTTGTTTTTCGCTAACAATCATCCAATTATTTGTTGCCAATTTTATACAGGCCAATAAACAAACAAATGGGGAAAAAATTTGTCTTCAAGAAAAATGAACGAAGAAAAAGAAAAAATGTCACGTCAAATAAATGGAGATAACTATGAATGAATACAATAATGAAAAAAAAATCTAGACCGGTATTATAATTATGCCTGGAGACAGACATATAAGGAGAGAAATAGCAAAAAAAATTATGTATGTTTATCGATGAAACTCACAAAAAAAAGTCTAAATGACAATGTTTGAAAATGGAATCTAAAATTTTCAAACAAAATTTGGATGAATGGTTTTATATGAGAAAAAAAAGAATCATGCGAGAATGAGCCAATAAGCCACGCAGTCAATGAAAGAGAGAATGAAAAAAAAATCCATTTAAAAAAAAGCAAAACTGTTTATTAATAATCTTGTTATTTATCAAATCAATCAGACAAATCAACGCGTGATTTTTTCATTTAAATGGCGCGACAATTTTGTTGTTTATAATAATAATAATAATCGAATATCGAATCATATACCAGAAAAAAAGATGATCATCATCAGCATACAATGTCGTGATTCATGATAAAATTATTCAAAAAATAATTTAAATCAACTTTGCAATATAATACCCATCATCCTAATAAAAAAACAATTTAATGCATTTGAAAACATATACAGGTAGAGTTTCACAATGTCAAATTAACGAAAGGATTAAAATTATTATAATATAATCATCAAATAATGAATGAAACATTCTCTGATTAATCGATAATCTACAATCAAACATTTCTGAAAAAAGTAATGTTTTTTTTTTCCATCGACAAATATATATCGAAAATTAATTTTTTCTTTCTAAACAGGTTTCTCATTTTGAGAATTTCGGGAAAAAAAGATAAATAGATCCATTGAATATTATTGTTTGACATAAACATCTGGAAATTTTCATTTCTTAATCAAATAAATATCGAGAATAGCATTGAACTTGATAAAAAAAACTACAATAATTTAATTTTCTTACATTGAAAAATTTTGCTTTTTATTGAAAAAAGAAGAATTTTATTTCATCGTTTAAAAAAAATTCATTCCATTCATCCAAAAAGACATTGAAAAAAAAATCGTAAACAAAATAATTTTCAATATAAGAATTAAATATGCACATTACTATTAGTTGTGGCAAAGAAAAATCAATTTAGAATTTGATTGCATAGGAAAATTTTCTTATAAAAAAACAAAAATTTTATTATTCATCATTCATCTGATGAAGTTCATAATGAAATGATTGGAAATAAACTTGTCAAACATGATAGCGAAGAAAATGGAAAAATTCAAAACAAGCGAATTGCAATAGCAAGGTTGGATTTTTTTTTAATTAAAAAAAAATTATCAAATTTTAACCATTTTTTTGTCACAAAAAAAATATTTAGTAAATAATTTTAAAAACAAAAAATCAAAAACAAAAGTGGTTGGATTTCAACAGGTTCAAATTCAGATTTATTTTACCTGTTGGATGAATCTGAATTTTGATGATTATTTATTGATGACATTTTTTCATTGAAATTATAATCAGCTATTTGACTGGAATTTGAATCGATAATCGAATTTTGGATTATGTTATCGTTATAGATATTGGCTGGTGTCGTTTTCGTTTCTTCTTTATTATCAACGACGATAATATACGAATTTGAATTATTATATTCTAACAAAGATGATGATTCACTAAGAGAATGATCAAAATCGTTGTCGTCATCAGATAATGATGGTGGCAATCGATAATCGTTGTGATTATGATTTGAACGAAATGCCGAAATGATCAATTGAAACAATCTACTCATCAAGGTTGTAGGTTTTTTTAAAAAATGATTTTCTTCAATTTTTAAACTGAATAATCAACAATAATTTTTTTTGCGTTTTTTATTGACACTTTGTGATTGTTTTAACACTCATTTACAAACAAATATCGATGTTATTCAATCAGACAAATTAATACCGAAACATTTTTTTCCACTATTTGATCGCTTTATATTGATTGAATATTATAAAAGTAGTTGATTTTCTTTGTTTTTTTTTCAATCGATTGATCGATGTTCACTAAACACAAAACGTGTTTTCGAATGATCGAATAGACAATGTTTTACGATATTTTTTGATCGCTAATTTCTTGCCTGTACTGATCGAAAATTTTAAAGAAAAAAAAAGAAATGTCGTCGTTGTTGATAGCAAAGTTAAGCGTCATACAGCAATGAATGACGAAAATGAAACCGACGACGACTACAAACCACACAGGAAATACACGCACCATATGCAATCACATATACATGAACTTGAGTACATAATAACGAAATACTTGTTTCAATAGATTGTATACGATAATGGTCCAAACGAAATAATTGGTGAGAAAAAACCACTTGTTGAAGGGGAATATTGAAAAAAAATTTATTCAGAAAAAATAAGACATCAATAGATAACGAAAGAGAAAGATAAAGAAACTGAAAGAGAAATGACTACTGTTAAGATTATCAAATAATAAGATTGATTAAGAGGAAAATAATAAAACAAAATAAAAATTCTCAAAGTCCAAACAGATTTAGTTGAACATAGATGTACACACAAAACATGAGATGACCAATGGACTATCATGATTAGATTCGGGGGTTTTTTTCTACTCTAACCAATCAAACATAAAAACCATTATCAATATCGATTAGGAAATAATGACAATTTGATTTGTTGAAATCAATCATTGTAATTAAAATTTGGAAAATATTAATCAACAATGAGAATCAATACGACAAAAACGTAGTTTTTGTTTGAAAATTTGATTGTGATTTCAGAATCAAACGTCATAAAAAAAATTGACAAAAATGATAAAAGCTATACATTGAATGTCATCATTGAAGCAGCGAAAGAAAGAAAAAATTTTTTTTTTGCCTAAATTTGTGTAAAACATTTAAAACAACGGAAATTGACTAACCTTAAAATGACGTTAATTTATCGAATTTTCCATTCAAAAAAATCGATTGTTGATCATAAAACAAATGAATTTGAAAACTGAAAATAATCTATTCTATCGGAATGAAGAGAATAGATAAATAAAGTTTAGAATAGCCTATTTTAGAAAAAAAAATCTATCAAAGGTTTAATAAATGTTATTCTGATAAAAATAAAAAATACCTTGTTCAATGAATTTAATTCCAATCAACAACGAGATCAAATATAGTTGCCATTATGAGTAAAACAAAAAATAAATAATTAAGTATTTTGATACAAATTGATTTTAAGTATAGTTGAAAAGCCAATTGTCAAAAGTGAATTATTCATTCAAATTCGTGATGATCATTTGGCTCATATGGATAAATAGTGGTGTGATGTGTGTCTGTGTTTATGTTTGCCACTTGGCACTTGGCATACACGAACGCACATTTATTATATCATCGACATGTGTTTTGCGCATGAATCCAAATATATTGAAGATAAATGTTGAATTCATAAATGGTCAAACTAATGATCTGATTATCAGCTACTATCAGTCCATTATCCACATTTAATTCCATTCGATGTAACTAATCCACATTGAAATCAATTTCAATAATCTTCAAGGATTAGTGTTTGACAAAAATTTAGAATCTGATTACAAAAATCTATAGGAAATATGATCGGATCGTTTTTTTTGCAACCAGGATTAAAAAAATCAGCGAATTCGTTGATACACGAGTAAATTATATACTTTTTGCTGGATTCAAAGCATCCAAGAGAATTAATGAAGTTATTAACAATTTATGCAATACGTCCTCTATGATTGCTCGTCCAATTCTTGATGATTCACGTGTTCATATCTTTTAGGAATTTACGATAATCGACAGAAAAAAGATGAATCCTTCAAACTATAACAATAAAATCCATAGTAAACAATTTTCACGAATAAAGAAAAAAGAGAAGAAAATTGTTTCCACTATTGTTCGACAATATTTTTCTGAATATTTGGAATTAGCCATTGATAATGTTGAATCCGACCGCACTTTGCTTGTCGATAATCGAAATAATCAAATTTTTCTCACTACAGCAGAAATCCTGAAATTGATAAATGAAAAAATAAATGAAAATTCAATTTTGGATTTATTTGAAGATTATTTTCTTATGCCAGATAAGAAATTTTTGTTTTTAAAAACAGCAAATCAAGATATATGTCATCAGATTTACAGGTTGAATTTTGATGACAAACTCAAAGATTATAATTTTAATTTCATAATTGTACCGAATAAATTACTGGAATTAGCGATTAACAAATATCAGCCTATTGTTGATGAGATTTTCAATCTATTCAGCGAAGAAAATCAACCAAACGGGTTGAAAATCATTAATGATTTTCTGGATGAATCTGAAGAATCAACTCTTATTGGTTTTGTAAGTTATTAATCATGACTGATTTTTCACTTCTTACTCTTTAAATCTGCAGGTTAAAGTTTATTTTGAAAATGCAACTAAAGAAAATAAAATATCTAGGCTGAAAAATCGTGATGCCATTCATTTTGGCTATGCGTTCGATTACGAACGAAATTCGATTATCAATGATTCTACACAGGTAGTGAATTCGGAGATTCCACCAGAATTGGATTATATTCGCGAACGCTTTTTAGAATTCATACCAGAAAAACCTGATCAATTGACAATAAACCGTTATGTAGGAGAGAAAGGTGATCATATTCCGTTTCATTGTGATACACATTCTATGTGCACCGAATGGATTTTATCACTTAGCATAGGATCGAGCGTAGTAATGTCATGGCGAAGAAGAAATAATGATGATAATATTGAAAAACGAGCATCGACGATACTACCAGCTCGATCATTGATGATAATGCAAAAGAATGCAAGATACAGTTGGAATCATGGTATCACTAAAACAACAATTGATTTAGTTCCATTCTATAATGAATTTTCGACAAAACGGAAACATCTTTCGCTTCAACCTCGGTACGAACGTTATTCATTCACATTTCGAAAAACAAGACCAAAGGTTTACCAATGTCAATGTGGTGAATGTGTTAAACAACAAATGAAAAATGAAAATGCAAGTTTCTCGATATCCAATCCACGCAAATTAGAAACGGATTACGTTCATCAAACCTATGATCAGATAGCTGATCATTTCAGCACAACACGATATAAATGTTGGCCAGAAGTTGCATTTTTTCTCAAATCATTACCACCCGGAGCTTTTGTTCTTGATGTTGGCTGTGGGAATGGTCGCTTTTTTTCTGTCAATCCATCTATTGTTATGATTGGAACTGATCGTTCAATCAATCTGCTCAGAATTTGTCACGAACGTAATTTGGAAACATTTTTAGACAATTGTCTTTGTATCGATCAAACTGTACGTGAACAAGTATTTGATGCTATCATTAGTATTGCAGTTATTCATCACATGGTTAATGAACAACGACGTGTTCGAGCAATTCATGCTATTTTAAATCTTTTGGCTTTCGATGGCCTTGCATTGATCTATGTTTGGGCATTTGAACAAAAAACTAAAGGTACATCATCCAAATATTTAAAAAATAACGAAACTGTGATGAATATGGAACACGAGAATGAAAATAACACGGTTTCAGAAATATTGTCCGTACATAAGAATCGTACGGAATTTCGAGAACAAGACATTTTAGTGCCTTGGACTAAAAAACTGACGAAAAACTACGACCAACAATCAGAATTATCTACAAAGTTTCTTCGATTCTACCATGTTTTCAAGCATGGAGAATTGGAAAATTTGATCAATATTGTTGCTCGACAAGAAACTAGATATTCTATCCGAATTGAAAAAAGTTATTATGATCAAGGAAATTGGTGTGCGATAGTGCGAAAGAAAAAGCTCTAATGAAATTTAAAAACGTATTGTTTGAAATAATATTCATTTATTTCACTTGATTAAAAATTAACATGAAAGTTGAATCAATTTTTTTTTAATTTTTCAATTTGAATAACAGTGTGTTTATTGTTGTATAAATATTAAATTACATTGATAAAATTTAAATACAAATCAGAGAAAAACAAAATTATTCTTCCAAATCAGGAATAAACCAGATGATAGGCTCTTCGACAAACTGAACATGACGTGTGGAACGGGTGCCTTGGATTTCCATTGGAAATATACCTACATCATTATCATTACATTCAGGCGGCAAAGAGATAGCATTCCAATCTTCATTTGCTTTCGCGACCATAGCCTGCATCTTTTCACGAAGTTCTCGTTCTTCTGGCGTTTCAATCCAAATGTCTTCGTCGTCAAAATCATTATTAGAGGGTGAATCTAATAGAAAATCTTTGGTGGAAAATTTTATCTCACAGTGAATCTTTCGTGGTTCTTTAGAAACTAAGTTTGAGAAGAAAAGACCAGTTGCAGTAAATTCTTTCTCTAAACTACCGTTTATGGGAGCATCTTCATCATCGTCGTCTTCATCATCCCAATTGATGGATTGAGGTTCAAAAACTTCATTGTTGGATTCATCATCAGATGGGCAAGAAAAAAATTTACTTATAAAACAATTATTTTCGGGATCGTCTGTTTTCTTTGTTTCTTTCGAGCTTTTAGAATTTGTTGATGTTGCTGATTTTTCATCGTTTTGCACGCTTACAGCTTTATCTTTTGGTTCATTATTCATATGATTATCAGCCAATTTTTCCTCAATGTTTAAAGGCAATTTACATTTATCACGATTCTTCTTTTTGCGATTTCGGCGTTTTTGGTTTTTTCTACGTTTTTTTGCCTTCTTACAACTGATGTCATTGGCCGATTGAACTGGATCCATTTTCTTAGTTGTGAATGAATTATCACCAAAACCATTTATTTTTGTTGTTGAAATCTCTAAGGGCTTTGTGTCTTCTTCTTCATTAATGAAGTCGTCGAGAATTATATTCTTGACTTTTTCACAAAAATCATATGGTAAGTGCTTGATATCATCCAATGATGATGAACTAAGACTTCGTTTCATATTTCTAACTAGGAATGATGAGTTGTTCAATGAGGGAAACACTGTTTCGAATTGATCCATTTCAAGCGCTTTGAAAGTCGATTTTTTTCTATGATACTTAATCTTTCCAGTTTTTTCATTTACAAATGAGAATAGTTGAAAATAATTTTCAGTTAGATCCATCGAAATCTTATCCATTCTTTCTGCTAATGAAGGTGTTTCATACAAATTAAGTCCGATCGGATTGATATTGTTATAATTTTTCATTAGAAACGAGGGGTGAAATCGACTGTTATGAGAAGTTTTGATATTTTGGAACTGGGTGAAACTTTGAACGGGTTCTTGAAAATTTTCTTGATGATTAATGTAACAGAAAAATGACAATTGTGAAGATTTAGAAATATCAGCAGGACAAGAGGTGGAACATTTAAGTTCAATATTTTCCATCTCGGTATTGATATCAGAAGTGTTGATGCTTAAAAAGTTTTTAAATTTATGGAATATTGCAAACGGTTGACTGACGAGTGATACAGTACTACTGGGATAGAGCCAAGATGATAACAGGGACGAATGACTACTACAGGAACCTTTTAAAGAATCGCATCCATTCAAACAACCAGAATCCATTGTATCTAGATTTTGAAAATGAATAAAACTTAACAATAGAATCAGTTAAAGTATGAATTTAAAAATCCATTTTTACTTACCAGAAAATTGAACCGGGTTATTTAGCCAACGAAATAGGAAACAATAGCTGTTTTAGCAGAATTGAACCAATTGTTATCGGTAAGATTTCGATAAAATTTATTCGGTATCGATTTAGACCACTGTAAATGATCAGCTTCAATTAGGAAATTCTTGTTAATAAGTGATTGTTGTTTATGAAGATCTTCGATTTTTGAATGATGATTATTAAATTGACGAGAATAATATGTATTTAAATTTCGATTATCAGCAGTTGGATAATTTAAACTATGATATATATGAATTAAAAATAAAGTGAACACAATCGAAGTAAACAATGCTTTTGATGTTGATGTCGATGATTGTTTAGTAAAAATGTTAATTATGAAAGGCCAATATGGATTGATTTTTGTCAATTGTATTGGATAATTCAAACAAAAATATGGATATGAAGAAACGGTATTAGTTGCTGTTGAACTTTTCAATGATGAGAGAATGAAAATTGTAGAATTGATTAAATAAATTTGTGGCTGTTGTGCGCTAAATGGCGCCATTTTCTTAGTTAATTCATCGGGCTGACCGAAACGGTAAAAACAGAACAAAAAACACAGATAGCGATGATCAAACATATAGGTAGAAGAAAAATTTTGTCCAAAATTGATGAGCCATGATGATGCAATGCAAGTGTAAAATAAACACGTTTCAAGTCTACAGAAACTGAATGAAACTTCATCATGATTATTGTCACTTTGTATAATTTTATGGTTTTGATAATTCACGAAATCAATGTTCGACACTAATGAAATTTTCAAAATAATCAAATCATTTGTATATGCTGTTGTTGAAGGATTTTGATAACAATTTGACATTCTAGAATGTTCACCATATAGAATTAAATCATTTTTGTTCGTTGATTTTTGAAACATCCAGTTAATTCAGAGCTGTTTGACAAATGGAAAAATAAAATTAGAACGTATGTTTATTGGGATGAGAAAACGATAATGGCACTTTTATATTTAGTTGAGAGGAAAAGGAATTTTTAATGTAAACGTGTTGATAAAAAGAGTATTGTTGAGATTGGATACATCTATATTTGTGTTAATAATTTCTAACAGCATGCAGAAAGACATGTATAGGTCGTTGTAATCAATAATTTGTATTAAGAAAAAAAGACTACAAACGTTTATATCAATCGGTGAAAAAGGACAAAATATCAAAAGCAAAAAAAATGGGAATATAAAAAGGGGGAGGTTTATCGTTAATCAACACAACTAAATTGATCCAATTGTTTGCCATTTCTGTTTCTGTTAAATTATTATAAATAAAGAAATTAAAACATACCAGAATTATTTTGAAAAATAGATCAGAATTCTTTCGCGTTCGAGTAAATTTACGATTTTATACATTTGTTAAACGATTACACATTGAAATGGAAATGAGTCACAAACCCGTCTTTTTTATACAGCATCAGCTGCCAATTGGCCAATTACATTAATGTATGCTTTTATGCTGCGCAGTTGAAAATTAATTTCGTCATTCGTTTATCATTTATATGATAGGCTATTAAAACACAATCAGGTGAATTAGGTACTAATAGTCTTGGAACAAAATGAAATTACTGAAATGGATTCATTTAATCGTAAGTGTAATTTATTACTTTTCAAAATGATAATCGTTTCGATTGCAAACGCAGGAAAATTGTCGAAAATCGAAAAATAATTGCTGTAAAATTTCATTAGCAAGTGGAAAAATTCATGGGTTGCGATATTTTAGCAACCGATTTAATGTTAACTATAAGAATAAAACCAATCATAAATTGATAACACCATGGATTCAATCATTACTACAATCGGGTTCGGTGATTGTTTCGAAGGTGGATAATATTTATGATAACCTAGCTCTGGAAGAATGGTTATATCAGAACTATGATTTTTCAGTAAATAATGAACAAATTCTTTTGCTATGGTATAATCGACCAGCTGTTGTTGTCGGTCGCCATCAGAATGTTTGGTTAGAAGCATCGATAGATTATTGCAATCGGAACGGAATCGATGTGGCCCGCCGTAATAGCGGTGGTGGCAGTGTTTACCACGACATGAACAATCTAAACATTTCTTTTATAACATCTAGAAAATGCTATGATCGTAGCCGAAATCTTCAGTTCATCAAAGATGTACTCATTGATAATTTCAAAATCAATGTTGACATCTCTCCTAGAAAAGATCTAGTCATTCGTAATGGTGGAGAGAAAATTTCTGGCACTGCATCAAAATTAAATAATCATAATTCTTATCATCATTGTACATTATTGGTAGATGTTGACAAAGGCAATCTCCGAAATGCATTACGCTTGCAGCCAATCAAGAACGTATATTCGAATGCAACCAAAAGTGTTCCATCGCCCACGATAAATTTGAAATCATTAAAGCATTCAGTGACAATGGGATCACTAATACAAGCCATTTCAAACAGTTATTCCAAATATTACACTGCTAACAAAGACAGAATTTCATCTGTTCACTTATTAAATCAAATTGATTCTAAACGATTCGGCTCTATTAATGAAATTCGTTCACGTTTTCAATCGTGGGAATGGATATTCGGCAGTACACCTAAATTTACCATTTGTTCGGAATTTTCCGATCAATCAATCAATTATGAAATGAGAATAATTATAGAAAAAGGATATATTCAACATGTATCAGTTGAACCTAATTTAATTAATGAGAATAACATTCTACAATCAAATTTAATAGGAAAAGTACGTTTCGAACAGAAAGATTTGGAACAAGCATTTGAGACTATTAAAATCAATTCGGTTGGTAATCAAATTATTTCAAAAATTTTATTGGCCATATTTGCCTCATATAAACAAATTTGCAATTAATATAATTTATTTGAAAAAATTTTATTCTATTTTCGAAATAAAAAAATTATTTACATGAACTGAATTGATTGAAACTGAATGAATTAATAATGAATGTTTTAAAATAGAAAAAAATATCTTTGTTTTTTGTTTGTTGACATCATACCTTCAAGTGCATTTACCCATATTTAAACAAATGGAATGACTTTTTAATTAAAACTAAACATCGAAAGTGATGCGCGATGTAATTTATATTGTTTTACCTGTTGAAAAAGAAATTGAAATAAATTGCCAAAATATTAATATATTTCCATACCTGAATTTGATTTTTTCAAATACAAATTCATCTATATTGTTTTTTTTCTAAAAATATTTGATCTTATGATTCAATTACTTGGAGAAAAGAACAACAAACATTAGAAATGAAACATTAGAAGAATTGTAATTCTTACCAATAATGAATGATGAAAATATTAACACGAGAAATTAATAAATGTTTGTTGTTGTTTTTGGGTAATAATTTTCTTTAGGTTGATTATTTTTCATGAGTTATGATCAAATGATAATTACAAAAAATTTTTACATGCATTTTGAACCTAGCCTCTTTATCAAGCGCTAGTTGTCGCAGCAACAGATGTTGCAGATTATGAATTAGCAGTTGCTGTATAGTTAATCGAATCTTCTGAATATCAACCGAAGAATCATCGTTCCTATCAATTTTCAAAGTGTTGTTCGATGCATCTATTCGCCACTGCCACCATTTCTTCATCATGATTTACAATGTTCAATTTTTCGTTTCTTCTAATTCATGTAGAAAGAAAAAAAGCGAAAAAAATCAGATTTAATTTTTTTTATAAATATGAATTGGTTAGATTTTAATCATTATTTTAATTGATTGACAACTTTTGTCGGCAAATGATCGCTTTGTCCGATTGACGCATCTATGTACCTTTTCACTGCTCGGTGTTGAACCAAGATTCGATGACGATGATGATTTGGATTTCTTTGAAACGACAATTGTGTTCGCCTCATCGGGTGGCAAATAATTAACAAGATCACGTTTCTTAACATGTTTAATATCAATAAGCATATCATCAGAGAAGAATGCCGCAGCTGCATTAAAGACTATTTATAAAGTAACATAAAGATAAATAAACAACCAATAGATAGAAAAAAATGGAACATTTTTCTTACTTGTTTCAACAAAAATTCGAGTATCCTGTGTGAGATCAACATTCGATTCCTCATTTTTACGGAATCGCAATCCAATGAACCAAATTTTTTGTTCTTTCATTTTTACATCGTTTTTGTTAGAATCTTGACAGTCTGGATTATCTGCACTTGTTGTAGTGGTTGTTGTCGCAGTTGGTACTGCTATGTCACCATTTTGATTAGGGGAATCATTACCATTACCGAATTTTTTATCGCACCCCAAACTATCATCATTCTTTGACATTTCAAATTCATTATTGGAGCACGAAATTTTATCCATATTTACATCATTATTACTGTTTTGATCATTATTCATATTGTTTCCGTTATTTGCATTTGCCGATTCATTTTCACTTTCAGATAATTTAGTAGCAGATTCTTCCGAATCAGGAATTTTACGATTATAAGATTTAGGAAAAACGTGAGCAATTTCGATTGGCCGATGTCGTTCGAGATTTTGTACTAAAATACGAATTTTAGATTCAACAAGACCTGTCCATTCGGCCTGTGTGCTCACTATAATCGCAATGTAATGACGATATTTTTGGAAGAATGCTACCGGCTCAAATAGGCAATCCCATTGCAAATTTCCAGATATAATCTCATCTGCCATAGATGATGCAAGGTGGAATTCTTCTTTTAAAATTTCACGAGTAGAATTGGTCACATTGAAAGTAGAATTTTGCTGAGGATATGATGGCGTAATGATGGGCATCAAATGAAAACGATCACTAGCGTTCTCTCTTGGATCCCAAACAGGAAATCCCAAATTGACAAAATCATCGGAATTGAGTCTTAACAATACAGGTTTCGGCCAAGGCCATTGGCGAAATACCAGAAAGAATTTTTGCAACAATGTGGATGCGCTAGCGTTTGGATAAAGTTGACAAGTCCTAGCCACTAGCATAGCCCATGATACACCTCCTAAATATCCAAGAACATTCGAATAAATGCCACGACGTTTGGCCCAAAATTTCACAGCTCTTAAAGCAAGACGAAATGATTCATGGTTGGGAACTAAAAGTAAAATATCATCCGTCACACGACAGCCATTCAAGGAACGAACACTTTTTTCATCTAGATTTTTCAACAATGTTCCGTCACGGAGATCTTGATCCTCTGATATGTTTTTCAACGCAAGTCTTGAAAAAAGAATATCCAATTCAATACCATCAATTTTGGTTTTCATGACAGGTACGAAAGCTTCTTCCACAGATCGAACATATTCGCATTTTGGTATCTTTTTCAGGTGGTTGGGAAAAGTGGCGAAAAAGTCAACGCGCTCAATATGACGAGGAACAACGATCAATGTATCAATATCGGCATCTATTCAATAGATAATGTAAACGTTAATAGAAAACGCTATACATTACACTTTAAATCAAATTACCTCTAGTATGGACGCCCAAACGATATGAACCAAAGGTGAAAATTTTTCCATTCATTTGATCGGCCATATGTTGAGGTAATTTTCGTGCCGAAATATCTTTAACCCATTCTTTCAATGTTTTATTTAATTGGCTCAATATAAGGCAACGTTTGTTCAATTCTTCTTCACTTTCTACAAGTTGATATTTTCTTAGGCATTCTTCCAGCGCTTTTGTGGCAGCAATATCTGATTCTTTGGGCATAGACTTAGATATTGGCTCTGTAACGCCTAGATTTGGTCGTGATAGTTCATCAGCCATTGTTGATGACGACTAACAGCCTAACGATTAAATTATGTTAACATTTTTATACCCATAGTGATAAATTGTTAACAATTCAACAATTATGATTAAATACGAACCGATACAAACAAATGGTTTTCACAATTCCAAATTCGAATCAATTCTTAGAAAACAATTACAGAAAAACATTGAAACTTTGGCTGTTTGATGTTGACTGATAAAGGATACCTACAAATCCTTCTACACAAAACTTGAATAGCCAAATCTATTATTTTATTTTATTATTTAATATATTATCAAACTTTCATCGATTAAAATTCATATTTAAACAAACGAAAATTCACACGATCAAAAAAGATATTGTGATTGAATTCTTTTAACAACTGAACTCGCCAACAAAAAAACGCGATATTTCATCCTACCAATTATCGTAGTGGTCTATACAATAGTTAGCACTTTTCACCGGCTGGATAATAGCCACGTCCCGTACATATACAATCTGAAAAAGGATTCAAAAATTTTATTTTTATTTTGTTTCAAATTATTTCATTATGATTCAATTCTTAATCGTTTTATCATGGTCTTTAGTTTTAATGTGCATTGGTACATTTAAATTCCAATTGTTTTGATTCGCCAATTCGATCATAGCATCAACACGATCGATTGATTGAGCCCATTCTTTACGCGTATCAGGATTATGGGCATGTTGTAAAATGTATTTTCGTTTTTCGAAAAATTTCATAATCCAATGCTTCTCATTTCCATTAACTACACCATTCATTGTTTTTTTGGTCAGTTTGATGATGGCACTCAATGAATCCGGATCATCACCGCCACCATGTTGAATGATTGCATCATAAAATGCGCATCTTCCTAAAGGTGTTTGAACATTTGCTTGATTAGCTTCATGCATTGCGGGCCTTGATGGCAGAATTTAAAATTGATTAAGATTTTTCTTCAAAAATTTTCGCTTATAACTTACTTGTAATAAATTTCATCGCTTACTTCATCTTGACATTTACGAAATTCAGGATCTTTTGCTGCTTCTTTCCATGCTGTACAGTATCCATGAAGTTTGGATGTATCACCACTTTCATGTTTGGACAAAATTTCCAATTCCTTGATATATTTTTTTAATAAATTATCCGGTTTAATAGCTGAATATTTTCGGATAACTTCGACAGCATCACCTGTACCTGTACAAAAACCTGCACGGCCAGCAGTATATCCTCGGCCATCATGGATATTTTCACAATAACTGTATTGCAATTCGGTTGTATCATTTTCGAAAATCGATGTATACTCTTCACATCGATGTTTTTGCTTGGCAGTCATCTTGCTCGAGACTGATACGCCCAAAAATAATAATAAGATCACGGCTAGTTTCATTGTTTAAAGTTTTTTATTGTATAATTTTTTCATGAATGAGAAAAATATGACAAAAACTTGGGTTTAAATTTGGATTGATCTTGAATGAGGATGAAAATTCCAAAATAAAATTAACAAACACTTGAAACTTAGATAATAATTAAGATTTTTTAATGCATCTAAAATAGGTAATTATTTTTTTTGTACAAAAATCGTTATATTTACAATTTTTGATTAGTTTTTCAATGATCATCATCATCAATATTATTATCAGTTTTTATGTGAGAGGCAATTAAATTTTGCAAAAATTTAATTCGATTCAATGATGTGACAGATTGTGGAAGAGAATTTTGATGAATTGGCACGACTACATATCCAAGTGATGTTAATAGAGATAATTCGGCATCTTTTGGTCCAATGAATCGGCTATTATCATCTAATAAAGTTTCATTGAATCCAATGCACATAAGAGCAACACTTGAATAGCCAAGTCACAAAATATGATTTGTTAATAAATGTTTTCCGCTAACAATATCAACACTTACCTTCGATGAATGTCTTTAGTTTTTGTATCTTCTGATGAAATTTTTGGCTTATCAAGTATTTGTGGTTTTCCTTCCAAATCGACCCTTAATTCGGCATCTGTAATAAATGGAAATTGAAAAAAATGTTCAAATTCGATTAAGATTACCTATGACAAAACCGAATGGAGTTTTGATATCAACGAGCATGTATTTATCTTTGTTTGGAGCAAATGCGTCAAATGTTTGTATTAATTTTTTCCTAAATTCCTGCAAATCTTTTGATCGTTTGATTATGCTCAAATCGAATGTTTTGATGTACGTTTGGAAATTTTTCATCTCTTCTGCATTGTCAAAAAATTGTTCAATAGGAATTTTTCCCATCGATTGATGAGTGTTTGGATCAACGATTCGTGCATCACTTTGCAAAGTAAGCATTCCATAGAGAACGCAATATTTTCGACGAATATTCATCATTCGATAAATTTCATGTCCAGAATTAACATTTAAATCAACGGCATTCGAATCCATTTTTTCATTTTCTAACAAATCATCGCTATCCTCTTGTGAATTTTTTGTTTGCCTTTCTCTAAGATAATTTAGATGTGCTTCCAGTTCCTCTTGTTCCATTTCAACATAGAATTGATTTCGCAAAATGGATTTTATCTGATCAACAGTTGCACATCGAAGTAGCATAAGCGAATTAACAAAATTAAACCATTGATACCGAGATGCACAATTTTCATAGGAAATTTTAGGAACAATATGGTCCATAATTATGTCAACAAAATCTTCGCGTTGATAATTAAGTCGCGCTAACGTGATGGTCAATGTTATTAAATCCTGATGTTTGAAAATATCGGGTTTATCTATTAATGTTTGTAGGTAATAATCATTTAATTTAGGATATGAAAAATTAAAATTCGAAATCGCCACTGTGAAATCTCTTTTGGATGATTCATTGAGATTTTCCAGAAATTTAAAATTCACTAGAATATCAGAACATTTTTCCAATAGATTTATTTCTGGAAAATTTAGTCGTTTCAGTGATGATATCATGTGAATCAAATGTGGAGGCATAGTGTAAATCTCTTCGGGACGATATTTCAACAGTTTAGCAACGACTGACCGAATTAGGTTTTTATTTCGACGATTATGTCGAGAAAGCAATACCAATAAATAGCATAGGTTATCCAATGGAATTTCTTCGTCTGAATCAAGATATCGCATTAGTTGATCTTCAATTTTAATCATCATTTCGGGCGTAAAGAAACGATTGAATTTGGTCATTTGCACCAGATCAAGCATCGAAGCTTTCGATTCTTCCAATTTTTCTCCTATCGTTCGAATTAATGTGTCGAAAATTAACGCACGTTTGGGCGTCGTATCTTTCAGACGATGATACAAAGTTAAAGTAGCGTTTAATAATTTAAAATCATAACTATATTGAATTTTATACAACAGTTCATCTTCTAGGAATCTAACCTTTATTTTTAAAAAATTGATTTTTTGAAAAATAAGAAATAAATATTTTAGCTAAACTCACGATTCTGAGATTGGGATCCATATTTATAATGATAAGCGATTTTAGCATATTCAAAATATTTGTGTCCGAATGACGGATTGTATCACAAATACTCTCAGATACTCGCTGAAATTGTTGAGAAGCTAACAACGAATCCATACTTAATTGACCTGAATTTACTTTCTGCGACCATTCGAATAGCACCGGTGCATAATTAACATATCGTTGGTGATAATTTTGTGATTTTACAACTTTTTTTGTCGTAGAATATGCTTGATCTAATAGTGAAAAATCCATAAATAATAAACAAAGAGAACAATCCGAAAATCTCACCAATAGTAGCAACATGAATCCAACGTTGTTGATTAGAAATTAATTCAAATGTATTTCGATTTCGTGAAAGAGTAGAGATTATACGATTAGTTGCACGGAAAATAAGAATGGTTAACATTATGACTAATTATTGTTAAACCAAGATAAAATTTGGATCCAAAGTATCCGATTCTAATTACAAAAGGTTAAATCTTATAAACATGTGTGGAAAAAAACTATTTTGACTTTGCTTTGTTTGAATGTGCAAAATAGAGAAGCCACGTCAAGTTTGATTGGTCTTATGTGTCAACGAAAACCGAATTCCATAATTCTTTCAACAATAAATATTTAATCATAATTTGTCTTTCTTACTAATCCTTTACTAATCATAATGATTGTTTAGAAAACTATATATACACTTTCTGAATTCAATTTCCAATTTTTTCATGCTTTAAAATTTCAGTTGTCCATCTATTAATTCTAAGCTTTCAATTCAAGGAATACATTCCGTGAAATCAAGATAAAAAGGATGAACAATTACCCAGTATTAATGTTATCTTATACAATTATTTTATCGATAATATTGATCATCAAAGTGCCTAGCATTATAGCTCATTATAATCAACCCCAATATGGTGAGTTTTTAAAGAGACTATATTTTGAATTTCATCAATTATTACATGAATGGTTTTTAGGTGTACCGGTCCAGCAACAACAACAACAAGTCTATCACCAGCAGCAATATCAACAACAGCAAGTTCCAATGCAGCAACAACAACAAGTAGTCTATCAAACACCGGGACAGGTGCCGCATTATCAGCAAGTACCCCAAGCCGGTCAAAATGTTCTGCATGATGATAGTCGAATTCACGATAAGGAACATATAAAGGTCTGACAAATAGGTTCAATTTTATTCATCGTTTGATGCTGAAAAATGTGTATTCAATTCTTAGGAACACTTACATGAAGCATTAGGCGATCAAGATGTAAGCAAAATGAGTGAAGAAGAGTTGCAGTTTCATTATTTCAAAATGCATGATAATGATAATAATAACATGTTGGATGGTAGTGAATTAATCAAATCGTTGATACATTGGCATGGTAAGCAACTTTGTGTTGGCCTTTCTTTAGTTAATCTTGTTTTTATTTTTATTTCAAGTCGAAGAAAGTCGTCATTTGGGCAAGAATGCATCACCACATGGAACGACAAAAATATTCACCGATACTGAATTAGAACAAATGATTGATCCAATTCTTCAGATGGATGACAAAAATAATGATGGCTTTATCGATTATCCCGAATTTGTCGCGGCACAAAAAACTCGAGGATTTTAGGCGAACAGTTCATTTTAACTCAGTCATTTAATCAATTTTAGTCATAATGAAATTGTTGGTTCTATATTGCCTTTTTTAAATCACGGCCATCACACCACTATCCAAATCACTAAGCATTTTTGAATCAATTTTTCCAAATAAAATTTCCTACAAATTATAATTTTGAATTGATTGTTGAGGTTGTAGAGAGATTACTATACTTATCACAAGCGGTACTACATAATTGCCAATTGGAGAGAAATCATTTGAACGATATAATATTCATATAGAGGAAATTATATTTGCTGATGTTTATTCTAATTGACATGGACAAATGGTTTCAAATCCAAATTGAATAAAGTGAAATAAAAAAATTAAATTCAAATGATCATTTATTGTTTCAAGAAAAAAATAAATATCTCTTCACCATTCAAAGAAAAAAATTTGCTGACAATAATTGGACATGAAGGAAAAATAAGACAATTTCATAGGATAATCTTGCAACATTCGACGGCTATGAATTTGTTGGATAGAAAATTCAATTTGAAAAAGATTAAAATAAAAAATGAAAACTAAATAATAATTTTCAATGATTGCAAAATCGATTGATTGAGACGAAAAAGGAGTAGCGTCTTTATAAAAACAATGAGAATTGATTGTAATCATTGACAAAAAGGGAATGGAATTCTGTATTCATTCAGCCTCTAAATTTATGGAGGACTTTCGAAAGAAAGCAAGCGAATTTTGAAATTGTTTGTTTGCTAATTCGGTCAGTGGAGTGTCGTTATTTTTTTCATTAATTTTCATGATCAACGAACGTATAATTTCGTTGATGTCTTCATTTTCATATCGAACATAAAGAGTAAGATGTGACAGGATATCAGTGTATAATTCTAATTGTAGGGCAATATCCAAAACGCTGTTGGCTATTTTCAAACATTTGCGGAAACATTTTAATATTTCTGGCTCAATTGTTTCTTCATTGGTGACAAATAAAATGCTGGCTGTTAATAATGCCCGACATTGATCACTTCTTTTAACTAGTTTACCTGTAAGAATGCAAAAGATAATTACAAATCGAATCGATGAAATTGATGACAAATTTAAAATACATACCGCAATTAAGGCCACATTGATTTCGAAGAGGGGTGAAATTTTCAATATTCTTGAACTTAATATTCTTAACGGATGCAATGATCAATAGCAAACATAAGGTCTGCTCTTTAGAATCTGATATCTCCTCTTCATATATGGAAAATGCTTGGCTAATAAAATCATAGCTAATCGATTCGAAATCACTAATTTCTGATTTAGCAGCATTTAATGCTGCTTCAAGAGATAGACGAAGGCATAGTTCCGGACAATTTCCTTCCTTCAACAATATTACAATAAGCTGATTGACAAATTGATAGATTCTTTGACATTTTTTCATCCATTTATCATCTGTATCTTTTATTTTCTTGTATCTAGACAATAAATTAACATGTCAAATTTAAGCAATTTATGCAAAGGAATACGATCTCACCTCAATGATAGTTGAAGAGCTTCGAAAACTAATGATGGGTATGTGTATCGAATACGGCAAGGGCCACCAGTGGCAAGAATTTTTTTGATTGAAACCAATGTCAGATGAGTTGTATCGAGTAGTTGTGATGATGACGACCGTGAATCGTCGATATCATTCAAGCATTCCCCACCATTCTCATCACCACCTGATGTTCGGCCATTTTGTATGGATGTTTCCCCAGCATCAATACATTGAGGCAACAAAAGAAAATGTATAAACCTTGACAACAGCAATTGCTCATCAATGAATTCTTCATCCTGATCATCGACTGGAACATTCGGTTGTGGTTGTTTTTGAGGCGACGATTTAGAATTATTGATCACAATCACTTGATTAGTTCCATTTACCAACGGTCCACATAGCTCGGTTAAAAAAGTTTGTATTTCTGATGGCGTTAAACGATCCTCGGGTCTTAGATAATCTTCACTGTAATTTTCTAGTGTAGCATTGATAAGTGTCAAAATGATCTGTTTATGCAATTCAATATCCGTGGTTTCTTTGACCAGGTTTTTATAGTTGGTTAACTTAAGGCTCATTTTTATAAGCCCGTATTCATCTTTGTTTTTTGTTGAACCATCGGTATCGTTTGAAAGATATGTTGAATTAGAATTGCCCAGATTAAATGGCATCTTCAAAAATCTACACATTTCTTTGCCAAGATTTGATCTCATGTTTATGGTCACAACATTCATATCTTGGATGGCTTTCAGTGTCGATCCAAGGACAGAATTGATCGCCTCTTCACGTTTGACCGGGTCGGTAATTTTCTTCAAAGAAAAATTAATCAACGAGCTATACATGCTAATTATATCTTCAATGGCAATAGTGGGTCGATTGGCGATTATATTACTAATTTGTCTGCTAAATGTGTCAAACAAATCTTCGGGCAATGGAACATCGTGAGATTGGGCTAATCGATCGATCAATGCAATAATGATGTTTTTGACTTTTACATCAGGAGCCAATTGTGCACATGAATTCAAAAAAGGATTCAATGTCGATAAATGAAATTCATCGGGAAAAACTTGAATCAACGACTCCATCAGGTATTCTTGAGCAATAGCATCCTTGCAAGAAACCACCTGCTCAAGAATACCCGGCAACACTACACGAGAATACATTTCGACATTGACAGATTCCAGTTGTGATAGACGAACCAAATTCGTACCAACCAATAGCCGAAGTTCAAGTCGTTCTTTTTCTCGACGATCACGCTCTCGAGTATGACCCAAATGCTGCATACGAACCCAAAGTTTATTCATTTCAGCGAAATTAGTCAGGACAAAATCAATTGAATCCATTACAGTGGCCGTATCGGCAACTTTATTATCAACATTTTGCTGCTGTGTGATTGCATTAGTCAATGTTGAACTAACAAATTGCGTTTGTTGTTGTGGTCCTTCATGATTCTTATCATGATTCATTAGCATAGCTTTTCTACTATCTTCATAATTTCCTAAATTTTCAGCTGGTTGGTCAGGTAAAACATGACGACATGTCATCAAAAGAAAATTGCGCAAAAACAAACCACGAAGAGGATGTTGTACACCTAATATAAATATGTTAAAAACAAAAGACATATCAAACATTAACAGGCACAAACCTCGACACATTTCAACCAGATCTTTAAGTATTTCACGGCGACAATGTGGTGATGTTTTCATATAAACAAGACCAACCGATATGAGTAAATATAAACGTGGTATAATTGATCCAGCATATTGTACCAATTCATAAAGCTCATAAACTTTATGATCGCGCTGAAACTCATCAACAAGATACATTTCCAGATGTCGTAATTGATCAGTGACGGCCATAAATAATTCATAATATGACCGTGGGCTTAAAGCCGATGTACGTAATTCTGATAGCATATTTGATGCATGTTTCAACGCTTCCATTAATTTACCTTTATCTAAACAGCATTTCATATGAAATGATTGTACTTTAACGATGCTCAATGATTCGTCAAGTAATTTTTCTTGTTGTTCATCGGTCGGTGAACGCTGTTGATTTTGTGGCATCTTGCAATCTTTAATCAATAAATTGATGTTGGCTAATTTGGTTGTTGTCGTTATTTTGGTCAAAGTGGCAAAAAATTAGCAAACATGCTGTTTAGCTTGAACTATTTTGATGTTTGTTTGTTTCTTCTTTCGTCGATCCTAATGAAGTTTTGAAAAAATTGTTTTCATAAACATACATACACAAACGCATATATTTTCGTTGATATCGACGAATGTTGTTGAATCTAACAAATAAAATCATTAACCAAAAGCTGAAATGTTGAAAAAATGGGCGACTTTTTACCGATACAAACAAACAGATAGACAAATAAGCGAATATACACGGTTGCAGTTTTGTTTTGGCCAAACTCCTTGATTGACGCCACTACTTCTCAACCCTCATCAACATCATCATCATCATAATAATCGAATCGGACGTCAACGCCACCAAACAACTCCCCGTGTATATTTATGAAAATATCAAACATAATCGAATGGTTGATCGATAGATGCCGTTATGGTCGAATTTCCACATTATGAATTTATTGGAAACCGATGGCATTTTATGATCACAAAAATATCGAAAGAATTCATTTTTTTAAATTATTTTTTAATGAATTTGATTAATCGTTACAATCATATAATCGATTATAAATCATTATAATTTTGTATCGATTTGTTATGATTTAACCAAGGAATGAAAATTGTATGACAATATAACCAATCAAAGTCTCATTAAAAATTCAAAAAAAAATTAAAAGAAATCATAAATCGTTATCTGTAGAATGATTTAAGGTATTCCTCTTGGAATATTGAATGAAATTTCATCACCCCATTCACCCCAGTCAGCACGCTTCAATTGGAATGTAATGACCCAGGCAAGAATAGTTACGATCCATATCATCGACCCACAGAATGAATAAATGACTAATGTACGTATTTGTCCTAGATGCTTAATCGTTTCTGGGTTTCTTTCAAATCGATCATTTGATTGTTCGGGAGAATTGGTAATCATTGGTTCTTGGGTCGATGTCTGTTGTTGGGGATTGTTCGGTTGACGATTTGTTCTATTCGATCGCTGTTGTTGTTGTTGCCGTCTTTGTTCTTGATAAGAATCATATTTATATATAAACATGCCAAACCAAACTGTGTTAATCATCCATAAAAAAGGTAGACCGAAAAATCCGATGAAAAAATAACGACGACATAGTTTGAGTCGATCTTGATTTGACATTCTAGCCAATTCCATTTTAATCTAAGGAAAATTGAATTGAGTGTGTTTAGTTTTTATTATTGATGATCAAAACAAAAAAAATGTAATGATTGATGGGTGATCCAAATTGATCAATCAAAATGAGTCAGCTAAAACATTTTTTATAAAACAAAGAATTAGTAACAATATTGTTTGATGGATTGTCAGAAAAAATATGTTCTATGCACAATCGATAGAATCGATTGTCGTGCAGAAAATGTAGAATTAACTATAACTGTTCATAATCGAATTTAAAATTGCAAACTTGCTATATTTAGCCTCAGAGGCAAGAATTTACAATTTTTCTTTTTATTCTTAATCATATTAGTAGTTGTTGTTGTTGTCTTGAAAATTTCACGATGATTTGCATAAAATAATTCAATAACGTTACAACCATTACAAGATGAATTTTTCAGAACAATCGCAAATTAAGCTGCAATCGACAGCAGCCGATCAATCCATCGATAATAGATTGGTCTATATTCAACCTTTCGGCGATGAGGAGATTCTATTACCAATGACTAGACGTGCAGCTAGGCTATCCGGTTATCTTGGCGATCTTATTGATTTGATGGATCAAAAGGCTTTTGATGTGGATTTGGAAAAGTCAACCCCAATCGATAGAACCAATTGTTCAACAATTCCATTGATCAATCATACAGCATGCAATTTGAATACAATGAAAAATATTATCCGATGGTGCGAATATCATTGTGATGATCCAAAACTGGATGAAGATAATTTCGAAGATTCGGAAGAGGATGAATATGCTAGACGTACAAGAAAACTCGAAGAATTGCCATCGTATTGGGATCGACGATTTTTGGCCGATATAGCCGGAGATGAGGATCAGGTGAATGGATGGCAAAATAGAGCAGATCTATATGATCTTCTAATTGCGGCACATTTCTTACGTATCAATCCCATCGTCGAGATTGGCGGAAAATTCATTTGTCAAGCGATTCGAGAACGAAATGTCGATCAGGTGCGAAATTTTCTTGGCATCATAAACGACCTGAATGATGATGATAATATTCTATCCAATACCGATCGTTTAACATTTAATCGATAAAAATTAAATTTTGCAAAAAATAAATAGTGTACAACCCGTGAGTAGTCTGAATTCAGTTATGGCAAACATATTTGCCATTCCGCACATCGTACTGTTATTCATTGGCTAGCCACAAATCATTTCACTGAATACACCAGTCATAAAGCATCAGGCAATCCATTTGTTACAAATGGAAAACCATCTCTTGCGTAAAACGGGTGCATTCATTCAATCGTTGCTCTCGACTTGCACTTCGAATTACGAAGTGAATCGCTAAGATTCAGAAGCAATGTTTTTCACACTGCTCGGCATTCTCAGACCTTCCCAAAGGTAAATCATGGATAAACCTTTAGTGCGGACTACAAGTTGTACAGTCTATCATCACAACAACAATTTTGTAGTGTTACCAGATTGCTTTTATACCCATTGAATTATTTACATGAATTTCATTACAGTTTGTTATCCGCTATATATTTGACTAAATTTTACAAACAGCTTTAAATATCATAGATTCAAAAAACATTTATACATAATAATTTTTTTCTTTTAAATAGTTATTCGAATTTTAAATTTTTTTAGTTTCATATATTAGAAATGAATCAAAAAAAATCATAAAAGAATAACTTCACCCATAAGTTCGAGAATGCTAGATCTCCAATCTATTAGTTTAATTACTAAGATAATCACTGATTTTTAACTGAGGATAAATCCATGAATTATGATAATCCTATCTTATCATTATAGTCGTATCTTCGATATTATCAAATATTAATGAATTTTAATTATTCTTAACACTTTTTTTTTGTTTATTTGACATGCGATCATTTTCATTTGAATAATCAACCATGTATGACAAGTTTGTTAATTTTTTTTTCGAATAATTAATAATAACACCACTTGTTTATCATTTTGATATCTATCTTTTCTCTTTTAAAAATTTTCAAAAAAAAATTATTACAAATTTTAGTTGTCTATAAGGACAATTTAGCTTTTGAACCGGTCTTTTCTCTTTTTAAATAATCATCACTGACTAATCAAATTCATAAATGTTGATGTGTATGAATGTATTTTTTCCTGTGATTAATCAACTTTGTTGATAAAATCATAAAGATCTTATCGATACAATAATTCCTAACCTAAATATAATCACATTTAGGATTGAACTATTTAACAAATGATGATCCAAATCTTAACACCTTTTTTTTGCTGAGATGATGTCTTTCTGTGGTAGAACGGTTCATTGAACATTGCACCTAATGGAATTTATTTGTAGAATATTTTTGTTTGTTGTTTTCGGTTGACTGAATATTGAATTGTTTGGCAGTTGAGTTGAACTATTCAATTTAGTTCATGGTAGCCATGATTATGATGATGCTGGCATTTCACCTTTCACACGCATCATCTCTCTTTTGCTCTTTTCATGACTTGTTTCACTGATGATTGTCTTCTTTCTCTCTTTTTTTCTCTATTCTTTTTTTGCCATCTCTTCGTAACTTAAAAAAACTATCTATCTACTATTGGTTAATTCATTTCTAAATTATACGACTTGAGCAACTACTTTTTTTCTACCTTATTCATTCATACGTTTATTTATTTCTTTTTTTTGCTACAAATGATGTTAATATAATGATAAAATGACTCATGATGTGGATCAAACAAATAAACAATCAACAATTAAGGTGAAAAAATGAAAAATGAATTTTTTTTTACAACTATTATCATCGATCTATTGATATGATATGAATTGAATTTAAAATGGATCATCATATAACAAATGAATTGAAATTGAATTTCTTAATGGATGTTTTCTATGTGTATATTTATACGAGAATTTATCACCACTATCATCACAAACATTTTTAAGGAAAAACTTGTTCTTTTTTTCTGGGCGTATCGAGTGTGTGTACCTGTTATATACAAAAAGGAAAAAAACTTTCAATTTTATTTAACGAATTCTATAGTTTCGTGTGTTTTTTTTTGTGGATGAATTTTCATCTAATCCAGTAAAATATAATTCAAACTGTCATCGTCATCATCTAAATTTAATTTAAAATCAAATTATCATTGTTAATTAACATTTTATTTATCAAAAATAGCAACGAAAAAAAAAATAAATCTCATTCAATTCGTCACCGTTACAATACATAAACTTTTAAATGTCAATCAAACTCGCACACACACACAAACACATTCGAAACTTAAACAAACAAAATTGAACGAACCGAAACGAATGAATAATAATGAACGTTTGACAACTCTATATTTCCGCATTTGTATACATTCGAATTTTTTGAATTGAAAAAAAAACGATAGATTGATTTCAGTCTCATAATAATAGAATAGCTATATATCTATACATTTTATAGTTGTTACCATACCGACGACCCACTATAATTCATGGTAATCAAAGTAATAAGAAAAAAAATCTTTTAAACACCAAAATTCATTTGAGAGTGACCTAAACTAATGACCATTGTGCTGTTGCCATAGATAATAAGGCTTTCCAATCACAATAATTGTCGATACATTTAAAAAAAGAATTGAAAATTTGTTTGATTAAAACCAAAATCAACAAAGTGAAAGTGCGATCGTAATGTATCATCCATCATCGTCATCATTATTATTCAAAATGAATTCTGGCAGCCTGACCATAGTTTGGATATCAATCTTGTCGCTCATCACTTTTCAAGTTCATCAAGGTATATTAAGCATGCATAATTATTATGAAAAGATTGATTTCAATGATTAATTGCTGATCATTTGTCATTTTTTTCATTTTGTTAGTATCATCATTATTATGCTATTCTTGTGTCTCAACTACGCCGGGCTGTACATTGGAACAGGTTAGTTGGTGGATCTATTCATCAATCACCTGTCCAGAATCGGATGATAAATGTGTAAAAATTATTGAAAAAGATGGAGCCGATATTCGTGTTACACGTGATTGTCTATCAAACATTATGTCATTACGTGATGATGTACCTGCCGATCGTTTTGAAGGATGTCGATCAGCCGCACAGAATCCTAAACGAGCTGTTTTTGTTGACAATGCAATCGGTGAATTAGAATTGAAGAAAAATGCATTCACGAATACAACATATTGTTTCTGTGAATTTGATCAATGGTGTAATGGATCATCATCTGTAAATTCAACGTGGACGATCTTAGTCACTTTATTCATGTTATTGATTCATCGGATATTTTGATTAATTAAAACATTAACCACACATCATTTTTTCATTATCATACAAATTTTAATGTATTAATTTTGATAATAATCATTATGTAAATATTATTCATAGTAAAAATTCATATTCTTTTTATTCAGGCAAACAAATTTAGTAAATAAATCGATGCTTGGCTGAATAGCCAAGTTTATCAAGATTTGGCACTAAAGCTTGTTTTATCATTTCAGGTGGACCACACATCAAAATTAGAGTATCATCTCCTGGAGATGGTAAATGTTCAGATATCATTTGATCATTAATATAACCAACACTATGAAAGATATCAAAATAATCGGATTTATTGATTTTTTAAATTGATTTTGCCAAGAATTACCTGTATGACCAATCATTATTCGATGATTGATCCAACGTATACCAAAGTCGAAAGCGATCTGAATATCCATTATTAATGTTTTCCAATTCTTGACGCATTAAAATATCCTTTTCCAAACGATTAGCATACAGTAACCAAATTTGTAATGGATCTCCCGGATTTTTAAACACATGTCGAATAATTTGCAACATTGGAGCGATACCTGTGCCACCAGCAATCATTCCAACTTTTGAATATATTCGCGATACAAATGGTGATCCATAAGTTTCTTTGATTAAAAATTTTCCCTTTCCTTCATATATTAAATTTCCATACGGACCAGAAATATTGATCATATCGCCAATTTTCATACATTCCAAATATTGTGTCATTTTACCTCCATTAGGAAATTTAGGATGAACATTAGCAAAATAAATTTTGATAATAAATTCCAGAAAACCATGATCATCATCACTTGTTACTGGAGTATATGATCGCGATACAATATTTCCATCCAATGTGGTCGATATTTTGACATGTTGACCAACAGGTAGACCAAGTATATGATTGACACTTGGTAAACCGAATCGAAATTTTCTACTATCTTCGGATAGATTTTCTCGATCAATCAAAACAATCGAATTTTTAGTTTTAGGATCAATCAATAATTTTAATTTTTTATCACTGGACTTCATAAATCTAAAGAAAAAATAAATGGCGATAGCCAAAATAATTGCTCCAATCAGCAATGCCAATACTATTATATTATTCTTTACAAATCAAAACGAGAGAAAAAAATTATGCAACTAGTTTGAAAAAAGACACACAAACTTACTTCGATGGCCATTTCAAACAGAATGACAGCTTAAAATTTAAGAAAATAGATGTCAGAAAAACAAAAAAAAAACTTTAAACTTTTTTTTGTGACAATCATAAGTGATTACAATCGAAACGTGATCAATTAAACGTATCAATGATAATCAAAATTTGATTTTTTAAAATTGTATTTACATTTATCCTCAAACACACTATTATCAACATTATTAAAAATGAATCATGTTAATGTTTTTAAAATATAACTCAAAATATTTTTTTTGTCCAAATGATTTTATTCAAGGATTTTCAATTTGTAAATTAATAAGAAAATCGATGTTTCTCTGAGTATCCAAGTTTATCAAGATTTGGCAAACATGCATGTTTGATCATTGGTGGTGGACCACACATAAGAATAAATGTATCATCACTGGGTTGTGGTAAATGTTTCGATATCATTTCATCATTTATAAAGCCAGTACTAATGAAAATGAAATAACAATCATTAATTTTTTAAAAATTTTGACATGTGAAAAACTAACCTGTATTGCCAACCTTCTGAAGGTCGATCCAATGTGTACCAGAGTTTTAAACGATCAGGATGTTTTTCGCGCACTTCTTCCAATTCTTTTCGCAATAGAATATCTTTTTCGGTTTGGTTAGCATATAAAAGCCATATTTGTAAATTATCTTTGGGATCTTTGAATACATGTCGAATGATTTGCAACATTGGTGTGATGCCAGTACCACCAGCAATCATTCCGACTTTTGAATAGGTTCGTTGAATAAATGGTGAGCCATAGCCTTCTTTGATTGAGAATTTTCCCAACCCTTTGTAAATTAAATTTCCGTTCGGGCCAGCAATGTTAATTTTATCACCTATTTTCATATTATTTAAAAATTGAGACAATTTTCCGCCTTCGGGAAATTTAGGATGTACATTTGCAAAATATACTTTGATGACAAAATCAACATAACCCAGATCATCATCACTGGTCACCGGTGTGTAAGAACGTGAAATATATTTTCCATTCAATGTAGTGGACATGTAAACATGTTGACCGACGGGAAGGCCAAGTACATGATCACTAGTTGGCAAACCAAATCTAAATCTACGAGTATCATGTGAGATTTCTTCTCGTTCAATTAAAGCCACTGGATATTTTTCTTTGGGATTTTCCAACAACTTTGGTCTAGATGCTTTGTTTCGTATCCAGAATTGATATATGAAATAAAAGGTCGTTGCCAATAAAGCTGTGCCAGTCATTAACACCGGTATTGTTGTCGAATGATTCTTTAAAAAAAAACATTAATTTTTATATTGAATTATGTTGGTTTCAAATTTCTTTATTTACCTCAATTGCCATATCACCCGATTTTTTTGATTGACGGGATTCGGCTACTAGATGTGAAATGTAAAAGGTAGCAAGGACCCAGGCTGAAAATAGAAAATTTTTATATATTTTATTTTGAATATTAATCAACATTATTATGTATGTTCAATTAAGATTATGATGTTTGTCAATCATTCGACTATCTGAGTCACATGTAAACTATTAATGTGAATCGTTTGGAAAGAAAAATGTCTCCAAGGAAACGATTCAAATAGAGTAGTAGTAAAAATCGATCATCAGGCATCATCATTAATAATTAGAGTATGAAAAAGAGAAAAAAGACAACAACACATCATTTTTTGCCTTGTTGAAGATAACAAAACAACCGAAGTGTAATTCAAATCGTTGTTGTTTGATAAATGAAGAGAAAAAACTATCTTTCTTTTTGTTCGAAAGCAGTTCGCCTTGGAAAAAAATTGTCAATTTTTTTCTATTTATCACTCTTTCGCTTTTCATTGAAAGGATAATTCTTTGTTCAAAATAATAAATAATGTTAATAAATTATTCAAAAACAAAATTTACCAAAACAAAATTCATCTAAATATTTCATCCTCAATCAAATTATCGATAAACAGAAAAAAATATTACTAATTAAATCAGAAATGAAAAATCGATTCGATCGATTTGAATCGTTAAAATCAAATGAAACAATAAATATCAAGAGGGTATGAATCGAATAGTTTAGATTACCCGTTTAGATTACAAAACAAAAGGAAAGATATTTTTCCTGTTTTGAAACAAGGATGCAGGATGTTAAAAAATTTATTCAGAAAAAAAATCACGATTTTAACAAATTTTTACTAACCATATATATTGGAAAATGAAAGTTTTTTACAATTATTTTATTTTTGGTTTAAAATTTATCCTATAGGAGAACGGTCATCATCATAAACATATAATTTTATTATCTTTGGTTAGGAAATTTAAATCATGAAATTCATTTAAATCTGAATCATTTTTCCTCGATTGGCGAGCTGAACATTTCATAACATCCAAACATATCATTGACCGCAAAAAAATTGCCAGTTTATACATACAAACGATATGCAACGTATAAAAATGTTTGCATCAATTTTTCATTAGGAAAAAGGATCCTAGAATTTTTTAATTTATCTAACAGTTCCAAATTTTTGTCGATGATCAATGATGGAATAGAGATATTCAAAACAGAATTATCAAAAAGAAAATAAATTAACAAAATTTTCCAAGTTTGCAGATAGAAAATTCAAAATTTAAGTAACATCGTCGATGAAGGGAAGACGAGCACCAGTGCTACAGTCAAGCTATTTCCTTTTCACGTTGACTGTCAACACACGTTGTTGAAATTTTTTCTAAATATTTTGTTTATTTTTTGATTTTTGTTTGGTAAGTTTTAATTGTTGATCGAATTATTATTCACTAGAAATTCTTAAATCTATTCTCGTTGTTTTATACATCGCAGGCTATTGTAGCAGCAAGTATATCCACTTGAAACACTTCAAAATGTTGATGCCCAAAAAAGACCGCATTGCCATTTATGAATATTTATTCAAAGAGGGTGTCATGGTTGCAGAAAAGGATTTCCATTTTCGAAAAGCCCATCCAGCTCTTACTAAAGTTCCAAATTTACATGTTATTCGAGCGTTACAATCGTTGAAAAGCCGTGGTCATGTTAAAGAACAATTTAGCTGGCGACATTATTATTGGTATTTGACCAACGAAGGAATCAATTATCTTCGTGAATACTTACATTTGCCACCTGAAATTGTACCAGCAACATTGAAACGTACCGTCAAGCCGGATGCTCGTGCTCGCGATAAACGTATGAAATTAATTTGTTCTTTTAAAGTATTTCATTTCTTGAATTCTTTTTAGTTGACGATGCCCCATCAAGAGGCGGTGCTGGTGGACGGGAATCTTATCGCCAAAATGAAGGATATGTAAGCTTGATGAAAATAAAATATATTCTATATTATAATCAAATTGTTTTTTGATTTCAGCGAACTGGTTATGGACGTGGCATGAAACCAGCCCAATAATTTTTTTTAAAAATAAACATTTTAATAAATAAAATGAAAAAAAATTGACTAAAAATCTTTTTTATTTGATTCGACAAATTGATTTTTCAAATTTTCTATTCGATTTAAAGGCCAAATCCTATAGATAACACGACCAATTATAAGTCCCATAGGTAAAGCTCCGAATTCTCGAGAATCTGTGGAATTTGTTTTATTATCACCCATAAGCCAAACGTGACCTTTCTGAACTGTTTGTCGATAATTACTGAAATGAAAGCGTTCACTGATTATATCACCTGGCATAGCAGCGATTCGTTTACAAATGAATTGATGAGGGTTCATTGGCGATCGAACCACAACTATATCACCTCTATTCAACAAAACAAATCATTTTGAAAAAAAGTTGAAATTTTCAATGCAACGATCCTACCGTTTGTAATCATTTCGATGAAATGCTGCAGTATATTTTTCGGCAATGATAATATCATTATGTAGTATAGTCGGTTCCATTGATGGTCCTTGTAGTAGAATAGGTTCGGCAAAATAACGAGTGATGCACCAAGTGGTCGCAACAACCACTGTAAATGTTCGAATAGCATTTTTCAATTTATCGAAAGTTCCTATGATATTCTGTTTATCATTGTAAACAAATAATTTTTTTGTTGCGTTTAAACTTTTGGTTAGTTGACGATAGTTCCGTGTGGTATGAAAATTCATTCGAATAACTTTTGTTGTCCAATAAAGGAAGTTCATTTTAATGATCATCATGACAACCAAAGCCAAAATGTTTAAATTAACAATGTGAAGATGGAGTTATAATCGAATGTTAGGTCAAGATGATTTATGGATTATGTTTATCTGTTTTTTTTAATGATATCAGTCTGACGATTGTAAAATGATAAAAATCATTCTCTAGAAATTCGAAATGATCTGATGACACGATTACAAATATTTGCAGTCTCAAATTAAAAAATAGTCATTTATGTTATTAACGTTTACAACATGGAAACAAGTCGAAAAAATGTTTGGTTATTTTGGTTGTCATTGATGATCATAATAAGATTATGCATTGGTGAATATTTTGACAATATAAACAATACTGGCCGTATTCCAATTATAATCAACACTTGGGCGTTCGATCAAGCCAACAAAGCGGGTAAATAGAATTGAGTCATCGAATATTGTCGTTTGTCGAAAATTCGAGGGAGAGAAAATTCTCTAGAATAATTTTAGCGAAAATGTTTACGAAACATAGTTTTTCAAAAAATTTTTCCAATAACAGGTTGGTCATTGTTAGAGAAAAATAAATCGTCATTGGATGCGATCGTGGCCGCATGTTCCGAATGTGAATACCTTCAATGTGATCATACTGTTGGTTGGGGTGGTAGTCCGGATGAAAACGGGGAAACAACTCTGGATGCTATGATAATGGATGGTGCTACACATCGAATTGGGTCAGTGGCTGCTTTACGTCAAGTAAAAAATGTGATTGCTGTTGCTAAGGCTGTTATGGAACATTCATCGCATACGATGTTGGTGGGAGATCAGGCAACAGATTTTGCTATTGCTATGGGATTCTCTAAAGAAAATCTTTCATCACAATGGTCGATCAATCAATTTGAGCAATGGAAGGCGAGTGGATGTCAACCAAATTATTGGGAAAATGTTCATCCAAATCCCAGGAACCATTGTGGACCATACGAACCATTAGATGAATATGAATTTAATGATGATAAATTTCGCTATAAAATTATTGATCGCAACAACCACGATACTATTGGCGCTGTAGCCATCGATCATAATGGGAGAATAGCATCTGGAACCTCTACAAACGGTATGAAACATAAAATTCCGGGACGAGTAGGTGATAGTCCGATCCCGGGAGCTGGATCTTATGCTGATCAAGATGTTGGTGGAGCCGCTGCTACAGGTGATGGGGACATAATACTGCGTTTCTTGTCCAGTTATCAAGCGGTTGAAAATCTTCGTAATGGTATGGATCCAACTCAAGCTGCTAATGCAGCTCTTGGAAGAATTATTAGAAAATATCCTAAAGCTCAAGTTGGAATTGTTGTGTTGGATATTCATGGCAATTATGGAGCTGCTTGTCTTAATATCGATGATGGGTTTCCATTCATTGTTCGAAGTAGGTCTCAATCACAACCATCAAAACATTTGGTCGAATGTCTAAGCACATCTGATTTTCGTCCCAATTCGATTCTTACAATTCGATCAGACTTTAAATTCACTTTTTGGATAATATTTTATACAATTTTTTATGTTTTTATTCTAAATTTAAGTTAATTGTACATGAGAATTTTGATTATCAAAATTAAATAAACATTCCGGATATTTTGGTACATTTAAATATATTTGATCAAAATTTTTGGGCCACCAAATTGGGATCGATGCTCGAAGTTTTAAACCGGTATCATTATGATAAAGATCTTGAGTGACAATATCTCGTGGAATATTGTTGCTTGTGAGAGGAATTGTTAATGAAGCTATTCCGAATCTTCCAATTCTTCTATGCAATTGGCCAACTTTTCGACGATCATTAACTGAATAAATTAGCGTGTTAGGTGCAGGAGATATTCGCCGCAACGTGTGATTTTGGCAAGAAAATTCAATGGGAAATACACGTTGCTTAATTGGCTGAGTGGAATAGATTTTTATTGTCTTCTCTTCCGATGTATAGAGACCTTTGTCCAACGATATTGCATTGATGAAATCACCATTCAATTCAAATGGGAAATAAAAACCGGATTTAACGTCATTGTGACCTTCGGCCAAACCAAGTTGATATTTGAGCCTAATATAGTCGGTGATTTGGCCTTCAATTAATCGAATTCGCTCATGATTGGATTGACATTTTATGTATGGACCTAGGTCTTTCAAACTAGATCCACCTAGCCTGGTAATAAAACGATAACCAAAATATTTAGAACCGATTCTTGGATCGGCGACTAATTTTAAATCATCTGAATCAATAGGACGAAGTGTTTCATCAATAGTGTCAGCGGAATAGTGTTTATTTAATAATGAAGCAGGCAATATGGCCCATAGATTCAAATCATCAGCTAATTCAACTTTGATATTCTTATTCACATTATAACTGAGTAATAATCGTTTGACTGCAGTGGCAAGACTTTTGTCTACTTCCAAAACAAATTCACCATCGCTTTCGTAATCACTACATTCTGCCGTAATGAATCGTCCCCGATAAACAAATAAATCGCAAAGAACTTTACCAACAGCTGACAATAAAAACGAATAAATTACCGGATTCAATTGATTGCGAGAATCAGATGACGAAGATTGTTCGGCATATTTCGGTAATAATAATTTTCTCATATCATTGGTCAACAATGATTGAAGATAGATGAACGATCCGGGTCCAGAAATTCGAACCAATTGTTTATTTCGAAGATGAATAGCTATAAAGCTTACAGCCTCAGTCAGTTGTTTATTATTTCCATATGAATTAGTGATGGAACGTAATTGCCAAATGAAACGAGATGATTTTAATAATCTAGAATTTATGTACATTGTATTCCAAATTTTATTCTTTTCGTGATCACATGTGACTGGAATAATTATTTAAACGCCATCTATGAAAATGAATTTACACTTTCCAATGTTTTAAAAAAACACTTTTAAAACATTCCCGGATCTTAACAAAAAAAAAAGCAATTTTGATGTCCGATTCAATAAGTTTCAAGGCCGAATGCTGGACGGCTGCTGTCATCAAATCGGTTGAACAAAAGATAAATGTGAAAAAAATCTGATTTTGTTCAATGATGACATGAGATTGGAAAATTCTTTCACAAAATTAACGCGCCCATGTTACAATGATTTGTCATAAATTGAAACCAATGATGCGTATATAGGCGGCCATTTTTTTACTTTTTTGTCAAATCTTCATATCAAAATTCATCATTATTTTTCAACAAAAATATTTTTGCTTTTCTTTCGAATCAAACTTTTTTTAAATTCCCTTTTTTAATTTGTATGCATCAATGAATAAACTGTCATTTATAATGACAGTAAACAATACGTTTTATAAATTAAAATGAAATACATTTTCGATCATCATTATCTAATAATGATAATGGCTATTCCAATTATGTAAATGAAATGAAATGAATAAATCAATATTATGTGCGATAACAAAATAATTTTCTTTCATCTTTATGTATGGAATGTATGAAACGAAAATTCAGGAAAAAAATGAATATAATGAAACATTTGATATCTCAACACTTTATTAAAAATGAATTTTCATAAATTATCATTTTCATATTTTGTTGTTGATTCTTGATCAAAGATGAATGACAGAACATTCGATAATGATGGCAAGTGATTTCGTAGAAATTCACTTTTATTAAATTGTCGATTCTGGTCTTCATATAATATATTTTTATTCAATCAAATTTTTTTCGAATAAAATGAAATGCAAAACTTTGGCAATGTTTTTTTTTGGAAAAATTTCTTTCGAAATATGACATCTCTTCCAGATAATAAAAGATTATATAGAATGTGAAACGAATTTTCGGGATATTAAAAAGATTTTTTTGTTGTTCAATCGAAATTCACTTTGTTTCATTATTGTTTCGAAGCAAATGAAAAAATAGTGATCTAAATCAGCCAACTGAATCCTACGGCCGATCAAATTCAATCATAATGATTAACGATTTATAAAGGTGATCCAGACATTTATTTAGTTTTTCCTTATAATAATGATAAATTATGGTGTGATTTTATTTATTATTTTGATCATTCATTTATTACAATGTTGTTTCACACGAATATTTCATGGTTAAATTCAAGGCCATAATGAATATTAGTCTACAGCTTTTATGAATCATCTGGAAAATCGAATTTAATGCTATTCATTGTATTACATCAATATCATTCATTAAATTATAATGAGATTAAATATTCAGGACCAAATAAAATAATCTATTTTTTGTTGGTGATAAACGGAAAAAAAACAATAAGTGAACCTGCCAAGTGAAGGCCAATCGTCAATAAAAAAAAAGGATAAATTTTGGCAATTAAGAAAATCACCATCATCTACAGCAGTATATATAACAGAAAGGAATTCATAATAAACCTTTGGAACCTAAATACAGCAACATGAATAATAATGACTATGATCAACTTAAATTGCGAAATTCGGTTAGTTTTAGCTTATTATGTTCAGACCATACTACCTCAACAACAACAACAACAACAAAAAGATAATGTAATTATGGCGGACCATTTTGTGGACACTGCACAATGCTAAAACAAAGGAGAATAATAACGATAATAATGATGATGATGAAAAAACTCATCACATTTATTTTTTGGATGCTAAAGACATTTTATCGTTTGGGAATATCATTGTATAACGAGCCAAAACTACAACAAAACAGTAACATTCGATTTTGGTGATAAATTTTGCCTCAATATGAAAATGAAGATGATATTAAGTAAATAAAAAACAAACCAAATATTTAAAAGTAAATTCTGGTTACTATTGTTGTTTTTTTTCGCTCTGGTATGTCATCTCAACTAATCTTATCAATTTATATTCTAGTATTCTGGGATTGTTTATGTATTTCTCATGACGGAAAAAAGGAGATGAGAAAAAAAATCTCTCCTAACAGATACTCTTATATAATGACGTCTTTTGTTTTTTTTGTTTCGTTCTTCAGAAAAAATGTAGAATTGAAAAAGTGGGTAAATAATTTAAGTGCTTTTTTCTCGTATGTTTTTCCCGCAAATACTGGTGTAATCATTAGTACCAATTTCAAGTTGAAATACTCATAATATAAGTGAATACAGGTAAAAACAATGATTATTATCTAAATAGTGGTTAGATGGAAAAAAAGTAAATAACTATAATTAATGATTTTTTTTCCACTGAGGAATCAACAGCAGTTTTTTTTTGGTTGGAAATTTTTGATTCAACCTACGGTGATGATGGAACATCATTCTACATGCACACTTGAAATGTTAATTTTTTTTTTGCCCATTTTGGCAGAATGGGTTTCGGACGCGTAGTGTTTCTGGTGAAAAACAAACATGCAAACAAGCTGCAAAAAACGAACCTGGAAAAAAAAGAAAAAACATTTCAAAAGATCGGTTTGTTTTCTTTTTCGTTATTCTACCCTCAGAGAATATTATCATTTTTTTTGCAACCCTGAAAAAAAGGAAATTAAAAAAAATTAAATTGCATAGAAAAAAGATTTTGTTTATAATATTCAATTCATCAACAAACGATGGTTTTTCCTGTCAACGGTTTAAAACCATAAAATAACAACCATACATGATAATAGTCTTTATCATAATATATTGCCTTACTGTCAGCGATTTTTGTTGTTGTTTTGCTATTGTTATTGTTACCATTTGTTTGCTCAATGATAATTGCTTTCATACGGAAGATCCGTACCCAATTTTTTTTAATTTATATGAAATAAGAGAATAAAATTTTTAAAAAAGAAAAATAACAGGAACCAGAAAAAAAATCATGTGGTTGTTTATGAATGAATGAATGATTGAAAAATTCAACAGAATAGAATAACAATGGTACATAGATTTTCAATAACAATTTTTAACAAGACCACTATCATTTCTCAAATAAAGTCAAAACCTCATCTTAATGGATCTGGTAATAAATCCAAAACGCCAAATCGTCAAAACGATATAGCTTGGTGTTTGAAGAAGTCAAGGTTTTTTTTCAAAAAATTCATTTTCATCTTGTTAAGTTTAAATTTTATTTTGACATTTTGTTCGAAGAATTGGAATTTTGTTTTTGTTTTTTTCCCACTACTCAATACCGGAGGCTGATTGTCATCTGGTTTTTATTTTTTTCGACGTTTATTACCCATTAACAATGGTTATTTGATATGTTGTCGTATTAAAAATTTTTTTCACGTCATAAGTTTTTTTATCAGCGAAAAAACATTTCAAAACTATCTGGTTTTCCTTTGTTTTGTTTTTGTTGTTGCTTTATATTTAAAATTAAATTTTATCCTTCATAGAAATGGTCAAAAATTTTTTTTTTGTATCATTGTAATTTATTTGAAATGGACATCATCATTTTCTTTTCACTAAAATGATCATCATCGAAAATATTTTTAATTTTTACAATAGAAATAAAATTACGGAAAAACGAAATTTTTTGCTGTCGATCAATGAACAAGAATAAATATTATTGATGCTTTGATACCTTTAAGCAATTTATAATTATAAACGTGATCTTTTTTTCAAAAAAAAAACGATTTCATTCAAGTTTTAATATCGATTTTTTTTGTTGTTATTGTTGTTGTCTCATTTTTTTCGTTATTGTTATTGTTGTTGTTGCTCTCTGAATCCTATTTGGCATCCTATTGTATTTTTGTCAAAAAAAAAGTAAAAGGTGGGTATAAAATATTACACAATATTTGTGTGTTAGAGAGAGAGAGAGAGTTAGAGTGATCCAGGATCTTTCATCTCAGTCGCTATATTATATTCTCTATGCTATTCTAAATCTCACGCATACTTAATATACAAACAGATACCAGATGTACAATGATAGTAAAAATTTTCTGAAACATATAAAATCATTTTGTATTGAATTTATCAGAAAAAGCGCAGAATCAAACAATGATACAATCAACGATGAACACATAGTGAAGAGGAAGAAGAAGAAGAAAAAAAAATCGACATTGGCTCTCATATAAATTCGATGTTCGTTGGTCATACAAACACACAACCATTATGCACGCACAAACACCCGTTTATTCTTGATCAACTTTTTATTTTCATTTTTCCAGCATTCCAGCAAATAAATGTGTGCATACAGAATTCCGATTCAAGGATGTTTGAGATAAAATTCATTTTATGGCCTTGTGCTTCAAATATGTTGTTATCTATATATTCTGCACGTTTCTAAAAAATTTTTGGTCTTACTAATATTGTCATCATTAACGTCATATGCATCATTGTATGTATTCTAATTTATCTGAGAATTGGCGCGCTAAAACAAAACAAAACAAATAAAAAGTATATAAACATGAAAATGATTTTTTGTATTAAGATTAGTGTTTGCGATTGATAGAGAAAAAAATTATTCATTTTATTCCCAATTGGATTTAGCTAATAAATTAATTCCATTAGCTATGTTTTTTAAATAAAAAATAAATTATAAAAAATTGTCCAAATTGCACTAATACTGCTAATTGTTATAATGGTGAAAGATGATGATCGAATACATTTAGAAATAATCATAACTAATAATTTCCAATTCTATATGGATATTGTTTATTTTGTGAAAAATAAAAACAATAATCAATGAACAGAGTACGATTTTGCACTTGAAAAACTTGCTCATTTGTTATCATTTATCTATATTTCAGTGAAAAAATTGAATTCAAACTAAACCAACGACCAAGAATATAAAATCCAAACAAAAATCATGTTATTTATATATGCATCATCAATTCAAAACGAACGTGCGTTATCTGTTGTTATATAAACATATCCAAATTGATAATAATAATAATAATAATGGTCCAAATGAAATGGAAATGAATCTCGCAATTATATCGAATCATTATTGAATGCAAATCCAAAAAAAA